CAGACCCTAATGATACAAGGTTCACTTTGCAGGAGCAGCGATCGCTATCAGTAGGGTCTGGCACATGAACGCCGCTCCTGCAAAGTTAAATGAGTTTAAACCGTAACCTCAACCCACCCTAACCAACCCTATTAAACCAGATGGGGTTTTAAATGATTACCTAACCCTGACCTACCCACTGAGGACACAGGACACGTACCAGACCCTAATGATACAGGGTCCACTTGGCAGGAGCGGCGATCGTGTCCCAGACCCTAATGATAGAGGGTCCACTTGGCAGGAGCGGCATTCGTGTACCAGACCCTAATGATACGAGGTCAACTTGGCAGGAGCGGCGATTGCGTACCAGACCCTAATGATACGAGGTCAACTTGGCAGGAGCGGCGATTGCGTACCAGACCCTAATGATACAGGGTCAACTTGGCAGGAGCGGTGATCACATACCAAACCCTAATGATAAAGTGTCCACTTGGCAGGAGCAGCGTTCACGGTTCACGTACATCTTTTATTGACTCAGATGTCATCACAATGACATATTAGTCAGTACAATGTACAATATACAAAAATAACTTAGACTAAACTAACTACAAAATACAAAATGTAAACAACATGACAAATGCAAAAACATAAGTTATGAGTCAAGTTTTAAATACAGCATAAGAAAATGTAAAATATCAGTGTGATGTATCATTGACACAATGTTCATCCAACACATATACAATGTATGAATTAAAGATCATTGCCAGGATCAATAAATGACTATGTCTGTTGAACTTGGCAACATGCACACATGGCACCACCAACATTTCTGGTACATGGTACAGATGCTAATACAAGATGGCAAGTAGAACCATGTTGAGCATTAATAGACATTATTATAACATGGACATCCAACATGCCATGCTACAGCCAATAGCCATATTTATCACATGACAACATGCTGTACTTGGTAAGTTGTGAACTTGGGATCACTTGAATCAAGGTACTTGGCACACATGCAAATATAAGATGGCAAGTATGCCAATGCAACATGTATAAATCAACATGCACATCCAACATGCGAACATGGCAGTACTCACAAATTCTGATACATGTACACATGCTAAAACAAGATGCCATGTCCAACCAAAATAGTACATGTTCCAATCTAGAATAAATCTTGAATTATCACTTGCACATTCAACATGCCATGTTGAGCCAGTTGCTCTGTCTTTCACATGCTAGACCAGTAGCATGTTGTCAGAAAGGTACTTGCTAAAATATTGCCATGTTACTAACAAGTATATGCCAAGTGACTGCACAGGATCTTGTAGCACGTTTATGATGACTGATATGAGGCTGCCTGATATGGGAGACTGATATGCTTTATATTACTTATACTATAGGGCCTATCATAGTGCTCATCTCATATCATAGTGCTACATGTCTCTGTGAGTGACTGCATCTTGTAGATATTACCACTTGGCAACATGGCAGAACATGGCATGTTTGGACCCGGTGGCCATAAATGAGAACATGGATTCAGGTGAACGTAACTTTATTCTGACAACTAATCAAAACTGAACAAAATTGATTGTACGTAACAGACAATTTATTGTTTTACAATATTTTGATTGGCTAAACGAATGAAACCAACAAATTATGACATGTGAAATGACAATTTTGAAATGTAAAATTTAAAAGTGACAAACACAACCTCCCTATCCACTCTTTGGGAGCCCTAGTAAATTAGTAATATGTACATGCAGCAGTGGTAGTGTACAGCTTATTATCACACTTCGCTTTGTATTCTAAAGCCTGTTGTTTGTAATAACACTGTTCACTCAACGTATGTTTTGTGTGTGGGCAGTCAACGATAATCATTGTTTTATCCCGGTTATTATAACAGAACCGTACTAAACGAAAAAACGCAAATAAGAGAAAGCTTTCACACACATAAAAATAATGAACTAGTCTAATCCGCCAGTATAAACTCTGTGCTATACGTAGCCGGGTCAGGCGCACACTTTAATGATAATTGACTATCCGCTATCCTATTAATGACTATCCGCTACTCAGTTAAATTGCTCTTACCTTTATTTATCAATTATGTTTCTAAATACTTCATAATTCAGGAGTTTGTTCAGAATTTTCTTATTTCACTACTTCCTTATTCAGCCATGTTTGTTGATAGTCTCATTAAAAAGTTTATATGTGAATTTCTTACAGAAACAGTCCTGAAGAATTTGAACATACATAATTTAACTGTACCAGTAATACAGATATTCCCGAGTCAGTTTGTTTGGAGTTTTCTATGGCAATGATGATACTTGCTGATACTCTAATCTTGAGGGGTCTGTGATGCACATGGTTAAATCATCAGGCATGGACCAGTTACGATTTTTCAGTTGTATAACAGCTTCACAGCACCGACTTTTGAGCGCTTCATTCAATAGTAAATTTCATGTAAAATGATAATTAAAATCTCTTCTCTTGAGAAGCTTTCGTGCAAACCTTTTCGAGATGTTATATTAATATTCTGCTCTAAATACCCTTAACATACCTGTGAACCATCAGTAATTATGTCTGTATGGCGTTTTTAGCTCACATGGTGAGCTTTTGCAATCACTCACTTGTCCGTCTGTCTGTCCGTCCGTCTGTCCGTCCGTCCGTCAACAATAGGGGCACGTTTTAAAACCTCTGTCGATAGGATTCCTGTTTTAAGTTATTTCTGTTCAACATCAATACAGAAATCTCCCCTATGACTCCTGGTTCAAAAGCTTGCCTATTTTCAAAATGGCCGCCACTTTTGTCTCGCGAAATTCACTTTTGACCCATTTGTTTTAAAACCTCTGTCGATAGGATTCCCGTTTTATAAGTTATTTCTGTTCAACATCAATACAGAAAACTCCCCTATGACTCTTGGTTCAAAAGCTCGCCTATTTTCAAAATGGCGGTCACTTTTGTCTCGCGAAATTCACTTTTGACCCATTTCCTAGCTTTACTAATAATTTCAGGTGTCCTTCACTGTAAAAATCCATGTCAATGTAAAGGGTAGATATATGTTATAATATTGTTACAAAAAATCAGCGAAAAATTATATCCATTTTTTTATTTTCAGCCATTTTAGTTAACATTGATTTGTCTATCTGACTCGCGAAATCCACTTTCCGTCAATAACAGTGGCACGTTTTAAAACCTCTGTCGATAGGATTCCTGTTTTAAGTTATTTCTGTTCAACATCAATACAGAAAACTCCCCTATGACTCCTGGTTCAAAAGCTCGCCTATTTTCAAAATGGCCGCCATTTTTGTCTCTCGAAATTCACTTTTGACCCATTTCCTAGCTTTACAAATAATTTCAAGTGTCCTACATTGTAAAAATCCATGTCAATGTAAAGAGTAGATGTATGAAATAATTTTGTTACGAAAAATCAGCGAAAAATTATATCCATTTTTTTTATTTTCAGCTATTTTAGTTAACATTGATTTGTTCATCTGTCTCGCAAAATCCACTTTTGGACCATTTACCTTAAACCCTCTGTCGATGGGATTTCCATTTTAAGTTAATTTTGTTCAACATCAATACAAAAAACTCTCCTATGACTCTTGGTTCAAAAGCTCGCCTATTTTCAAAATGGTCGCCATTCTTGTTCCGCGAAATTCACTTTTTGCCCATTTCCTAGCTTTACAAATAAATTCAGCTGTCCTGCATTGTAAAAAGCCGTGTCACTGTAAAGAGTAGTTGTATGAAATAATTTTGTTACAAAAAATCTGCAAAATATTATATCTGTTTTTTTATTTTCAGCCATTTTAGTTAACATTGATTTGTCCATCTGTCTCGCGAAATCCTCTTTTGAACCATTTGCTTAAAACCTCTGTCGATAGGATTCCAGTTTCACATTATTTTTGTTCAACATCAATATAAAAAAACTCCCCTATGACTACTGGTTCAAAAGCTTGCCTGATTACAAAATGGTCGCCATTTTTGTCTCGCGAAATTCAATTTTGGCCTATTTCCTAGCTTTACAAATAATTTCAGGTGTCTTGCATTGCAAAAAGCCATGTGACTGTAAAGAGTAGTTGTATGAAATAATTTTGTTCCAAATGATTGGCAAAAAATTATATCCGTTTTTTTTCTCAGCCATTTTACTTAACATCGATTTGTCCATCTGTCTCTCAGTCAGTCCAAAATAGTGGCAAGTGGCTTGAAATAATTTTGTTACAAAAAATCAGCAAAAAATTATATCCGTTTTTTTCTGTCACCATGTGAGCCCAGTACCCACGGTACTAATTTTTATACCTTGAACTTAACCGATTTCGAGGTATCAGTCCAAAAAGAAGTCCTCTAAATTAAACATGAGGTACGAAAATGATGGGACATTTTCTCAAGATTATGAATCTGAAATCAGAAATTCCGGTTCAGTAGATCCTATAACTACGTGTATAATATACAGGTCCGTAGCCAGAGGGGGAGCTGGGGGAGCGGAAGCTTCCCCCCTGACCAGAAATTCTTTCAAAATCATGCAGTTTTCCACCATTCTGAGAATTTTTCGCATGATTTTTAGCCAAAATTGTGAAAAAACTCCCCCCTGGAAAAAAGCTCCCCCCTCCTGATAAAAGCTGGCTACGGGCAAGATATATATCATGGTGGAACTTTTCTTAGATCTTGTGGATCAGGTTTCCCCGGTAATTTTAAAATCGGCAGAGACATACTGCTAAGGTACGCAATGAACGAACTGCTTTTTGAGGTATGCAGCGTTTATTGCGGACAAGTTAACCTCAAGATAAAAACTCTAAGGTTATCATCGTCATAAAACACCTGGATTTTCAATATGGAAAATATGTATAGGTGACCCCGAAGATGATATTTTTTATATAAAAACAAGTACAATATATGATGATCAACCATGGTCGCATCATATACACACAGTATATAGCATCATACCTTCACAGAAGCCGACTGAAAATGGAACTACATGTACGAATACTATTAAAGAGAAAATGTGTAATTGTTAAGTTTTGCTGTTTTTACTAATTGGATATTGCATCAAAACAGGTAAATGCGATTCAGGACAAAGTCATCAAAAGATTCCAAGAAAAAAATCAAGGGATAATTGGTACTTTGGAGATATATGGTATGGAGGATGGTTTTAGATAAATCTTATTGCACACGACATATCTTATTGTATACGCCATATCTTATTGCATACTACATATCTTATTGGATACGACATATCTTATTGCATAAGACATCTTATTGCATACGACATATTTTATGGCATACGACATATCTTATTGCATACGACAAATCTTGCACACGACATATCTTATTGTATACGACATATCTTATTGCATACTACATATCTTATTGGATACGACATATCTTATTGCATAAGACACATCCTATTGCATACGACATATCTTATGGCATACGACATATCTTATTGCATACGGCATATCTTATTGCATACGACATATCTTATTGGATACGAAATATCTAATTGCATACGACATATCTTATTGAATACGGCATATATTATTACGTGCGCCATATCTTATTGGGTACGACATTTTATTGCATACGGCATATTTTATTGGATACGACATATAGGCTATAACATTCGTTCAAATCCAACCATTTTCCTTACAGGCCAGAATTCAGGACAAAATGTGGATCACCGAATGATGAATCCTAGACTTACGCGCACATTACGGAGTTCCATTGAGAGAAATGAGCAAAAGCTTGTCCTGATATTCTCCTACGAGAGAAGTGGATCTTCCTTTTTAGGTTGGGCAATAGATCGTCATCCTGCTGTGTTTTACATATATGAACCATTATGCGAACAATATACCAAGGTATGTGTATTATATTAGTTTTCACCCTGTAGCGTAATTATTGAGGTAAAAATAAATGAGTTTTGTGTATCTTTTTAGGAACCTCGAAAAGGTTATTTGAGAGTTATGATAAAAACAACTACAGTATATCTCATCTTTTAAATAAAGATCCAGATGTGATTTCATTTTGGAAATCATCCTATCGTAATTCAAATTGAAAGGCGTCTATACTTGCGTACATCACATTTAAAAACAAAGAGCTCGAGCATATATACGATTTTTATTTTCCAGCCTTGTCACGTTTTTTTTTATGTTTATTGTGCAGAATGTAATATTATATAGTTGTTATCACTGCTTAAGTCAACGTAACCTGTGGTCGGACGCCAGATAATATGACTTGAGGCAAGGGAAAAATCAGTACCTGGGAAGTTACGGTTTACATCAGAGTATTCCCATCACGATAAATCATGACATCTCATTTCTTCTCAGCCCTGAGATGTTTCGTGAAACAGAAAGATGCTATGAGTATCAGAATAGAGTATTCCATACCTACCGAGGTTCTTACATAAAGAACGGGAATTTATATTGTATCTAGGGTGCCATGGTCCGGAACAGGGATTGATACAGCTAGCTGTATTCAATATTCATCCCGGTCCCGCTCCTGAAAAGCGAACTCAATTGGGAGCTCAAGCTTGCATATAAATTCTCAAAGCCAACCTGTACTTATGACCAATCGCCCATTAAAATACATCGCTTAAATAAGGCTACGTTCGCGTTGAGGTTTTCAAAAACAGTGCTAGCTTAAACTCCCTAATAATATGTTGTCAACTTGTGTTGTCTTAAACAGTCTATTAAAGCCACACATTATGTTTGGTGCTTACACAATTGTAATATGTAGTTCTGTTAACAATTGATACATTAGAAGGTTTTTGAGACCATCAGATGTTGTTGTCAAGTGAAAATATGGACGTTTTGGCGTTATGGATCTTTTTTCTGTACAATATATAAAACATGTAAACTTTTGTAGAAAATGGTCTTCCCAAGGAAAACTAAAATTGATGACAGAACACTAGATCTAGAAGCTGAGGTTTACAAACAAATTCAACTCTGTAATTTGGATAATCTCCCAAGAGAATGTGATGTGATGAAAGGCGGACACTTGGAAAAAAAGAAATCCGCAAGATATATATATATGGAGGGATTCTCAAAATGTATGCAAAGCAATGAAGCCAATCCTTATGGTATGGAGAAAATAGATCACTGTATCCAAGGTGCGATTGGGCTATGTAAATCAAGATCGGTAGGTTACCCTCATTATGTTAGTTAGCTAGTTAAATATTTATTATAGTGTCACAGGAGAAGACATATACATTTACAAGAAAGACAATATGAAAAAAACACAGATTTACTTGAAGTTCAATAGAATAACATACCACTGTAAAAATGATTTAATATATTTCAAGGTGTTACTAGCCAAATTGGTCCGGGGAACAATGGAGGGACTCTCTCACTTTCTAAATACCCTCAAATGTCCAGACAATGTAAAGGTCATCCACCTTTTAAGAGATCCAAGGGGAGCGATTAACAGTCGTGTAAGTACAAGATGGACACACTTTCCAAACTGCAGCCAAAGTGAAAAATACGACTTCATAAGTGCTATGTGTCAGCGTATACAAAAAGATATAAACATTAGACATGAACTAGAAAAGAAGTATCCAAATATGTTCGTGCAGGTCCGATATGAAGACTTGGTCGAGGATGTGAATACGACCATTGGGGCACTGTTACAGTTTATAGACTTGCCGTTCTTTCCATACCATCAAAATACACTCAAATCAAAGTCGGAAAATTCCTCAGACTTTGTCAATAAATGGAAGCGCACACTTGATAGGAGATTACAGGAGAAGATTGATGAACAATGTGTGGGAGTATATAACTTATTGGGTTATCAAAAAATCGCAAAATATTGGTGAAGTTGTAATTGTGACCAATTGAAATACAGGATGTACATAAAGTCTACAATTTCAATACTAAGTTACATAATTGTAAAGAGATTTTAAGAGCACCCTGTACTACATGTGTGATATTAACATTCCCAAAGGGAATTTGTAAGCCCATGCCCTAATCAATATAAACATGTATACATCATTTTGTGAATACTTGTACAGTAAAACCTGCGAACAGGGAATGCTCTTGCAACAGGAGGAAAGTTTGATTGTTCAGAGGTTTTCCCTAAAGAGAGAATAAGCATATTTGTATATATGTGGGCATGTAAGAACTGAATTTCAAGTTCCATCGGCCCCATTTTATATAACTGATAATCTAGAAGTTTGGATCATATTAATCCAAATCTTTTAGAATCAGATATTGACTTAATGACTTTAAACAATGGAATAAACAGTGTCACCAATATTCCATATTCCTTGTTCACAGATAAATTTTCATAATTTGCCCAAAAATAGTGTTCCTTGTTCCCTGTTCACAGATTTTCCATACAGAGAGGGTCCGTTAACATGTGAGTCAATGGAAAAACATTCGGTTCTATCAAGAAGCATTTCTGGTCTATTTATGTAAATTTTATGAATATATACAGATATTTCTTTATACTGCTGTAAATTAAATACATCACAGGCTCCAAATATCCAGCCCAAAAGGATATCATTGAGTTGAAATGTTTAGTTCCTCATCATTTTTCCGAATTTCTTTGACATAGTGTAATCACATTATATAGACCAGACACTACAGTATCTTTTCTCTAGTTAAGTTCAGTACAAGTTCTCCTAAATGTTCATACTCCTTAAGTTCATTATATACATGAACAGAAATCCTCACATAAAGATGACCTTGTATTGCCTTTATGGGAACCTCAATGTTCTTTTCATAAAGATAGTTCTGAATAATTTCTGCTTTGGTGTAATCCACAACCTCACAATGTTTGTATAATTCCAAAGGAAGCTGCACTGCAACCATTGTCCCAAACATTTCCAACGGGGCTAGGAAATTTGATTTCCATTTGTCTTTGAGAGTATTTGCAGCCATTTTGGCTAGATTGTAAAGATGGCAGTGTGTCGCTTTGGTATCTAAGGCATCCCAAAAGTCAAGGACCGTGTGTATTGATAAGAGCGGAGAGTAGTCTCTAAGACCTGGAATTATGGATTGAATATTCAGGTTATTTCATTTCAAGAATACAATACAATACAAATACCATGTAATACTATGAAATATAAGCCTGCAGGGCGGTCTACAGTATGTAGCATTTTTGGTTTTAATAACATACAGCTACTATGAAAATAAATGTTCATGAGTGCCACAATCATTGACATCATAACTTACTCATGGGAATTCAATTTTCAGGTAAATTCTATTTTAATACATGTACATGTATGCCTACAGACTGCAGGATGTCTGGAAATGAAATCCCCTTATTTTGGATTAATTTGCCCAAATATGTGGCAATCAATTTTGTTGTGTTTATTAGCAAATACATGTATGAAGGCAAGTCAATTCATCATTATTGAAAGTAATTCAAAAAATTCATTGTATTCCCAAAATTTTCAGAAAATTGCTTCCTTTTTGAAGAATATCTTGATTTTTAGGCCAACAAGGGAATAAATATAGCTGGATTGATGTTTTATCATTACACGTACATACCTGCCCATATAAACTCTGATATGAATCCCGATCCCAAACCATGTGATATAATAAGTGGTCTGGTCTGGTGCTGCCATCTTTGTTTCACATACATAACTGCTGCCCCCTTTGGGCTACATAACCATTTGTGGCAGTTTGAAACATAGAAATCTGGATCTAGATCATCAAGGTCAAGTGTCAGTGATCCCAATGCATGAGCGCCATCTATCAACACTGGAACCCCTCTAAAATGATAATGAAGGTGAAGATACATCAATTACATGAAATGCTTTCTAAAAATAATTTTTCTAGATTTTATTACTTGGATATTGTGTTATGGAATAATTTTTAGACACCACAGCCTCTACTCTTTGTTGATCTGATATAACTGGATAATACAGGGTTGTCCAAAAAGCAGTTAACTACAGTATGTTCTAACTTTTTGCATGTCATTTAAACTGGAAAACAGCAATTCCATGGAGAAGTAAATCACAAAATATGATTCCAAAGTCAAGTTTTCATGAATCTGAAAGTTATCAAAATATAATATTCATACAAGGCATTAACATGACAAAATGTCACCATCAAGTTGCTCACAATATTATTCTACATCCTGTAGTTATGTGTACATTGAGATTAAATAGAGCAGTAACACCTTGTAAAGTGAATATTCTCTGCCAAGAAAAATGTTCAGTGTTGGTAGGTGTTCACTACAGAGAGGGTAATTTATAGAGAAATCAGTAGAGTATGAGGAGCGGAGGAAGAGTGTCCACTAGGGACAGGTGTTCAGTAGAGAGGTGTTCACTAAGACAGGTTTTACTGTTTTTCTGTTTTAATACATGCGCTTGTACCTGTTGTGGCAGATCTGTATAAGCTGCTTTATAGGAAGAATGAAAGGTGTGTTGCTTGGAATGTGGTCAAATATAGCCAACTTAGTACCTTCCTTCAATGTTCTGTCCACTAAATCAACTATCTGCAATATGATATGTAATGTAATTAAGGAGAACTGACAGCCATTTTTCAAACCTGATACTTCATTGCCCGGGGGAACAATTTAGTAAAGATATTATTATGATATTCTCTTTGGACCAAGTATTTCATTACAAAATGTACATAACGAATATTATTATGAGTAATTTTGTTACCAAATTGGTCCACTCCAGGCAATGGAGTATCAAGTTTGAATAACAGCTTTCAATCCTCCTTGACATGTAATGGTTCATCAATTGTTCAGAAACATTCTTATTACAGTAATATGTTTAGCAATCTACACAAAGCGGTGAGAGCTGTAAGAAAATATTGAAAATGGAAAAATATTGATCTAAATCTAGTGATAGTTAGAAACATTTTATATCATAAACATATATTTTCAAGAATTGATCTAGTGAGCTTCATTTCATTTTATGGGTTTCATCAGTCCTCAAATAAATGTCAATATCTTAATTCAGCTTAAGGAGGATTGGCTCTCAGGATTGCAACTCGATATTTTCCACCAATGAAAACATCAAAATGTCGTTATTTTCTGAAATTATAACCCAATTTAAATTCTAAAAGATTCAAACTAATATCTCGATCTGAAGTTGACAAAATGGAGACTGTTTGAATTGAAATTTTGTATTCATGATGTGCCCATATATGGCAAAAATATCGATGTTGCACTATGGGAGCCATTCCTCCTTGAATTATGTATCATTTTGTATTATGTATACTGCTTTGTATTTTGTATCAAATGCACTGTTTATATTGATATGTTAATAAAATCAGAAATAAAAAATCAGTAGTTCTGTAAAATTGTCAGTAAAATTGGCTTTCTAGCAGAACAAAATACTCCGAAGCAAAGGAAACGTATCAAAAATATGAACACTGAGTCAAGATCGGACCATAGAATTTCAGTTACTGCCTGGATGGAAGGGTGTGTACCTTGGAAAGTTAAATGGACACATTTTCCTATTATGATATCATTACAGCATCATTGTTATATGGAATGGCCATAGGGAATGACTAACCTGTTGTTGAGACTGAAGTGGTAGAATGACCTTCTCCTCTTGTATGGTTGCCCCAGTATTCTCACATACATGAGTGATGAGCTTTTTCACTGCACCTGTGATAAAAATTAACATTCAGACCATGAAATCTCATAAAATGTACATGTATATAGTAAAACCTGTGTATTGTGGAAGTGGAACACATTTGGTATCTCTAAAAGGTGTTCCACTTGGGAGGTGTTCTATTTATAGAGGTTCATTTAACAGTAAGTCAGTTGGTCTTGAGACTCTAAAAAGTGTTCCACTTGGGAGGTGTTCCATTTATAGAGGTTCATTTGACATTAAGTTAGTTGGTCTTGGGACCCTGAAGTATTCAACTAACAGAGCCGTCCCACTAACAGAGGTGTTCTAATCAGAGGGGTGCTCCAATTTAAGAAGTGCTCTACTTTACAGCTTTCACTGTACATGTTCACTGGTATATCAATTTTGTTAAGAGGAAACTATTTTTATTTATAGCTGCTGAAATTCTCTCGCCAGGACTACACTCACCATAGGTTAGGTTCAGCATATACACAGTCTCTCCTTTTTTGATGTTCTGGGAGCGCACAACACAATTTATAGCTGTTGTCACGTTCTGTATCAATACTAAATCACCTGGTGAACACCCTGTAGAAATAAAAAGAACATTAAACTATACTTAGTACTCAGAAGGCCAAAACTACAATTTTTAAACACAGGCTAAATCAAAAACTCTGAGTCTGTTTATTCAAATACCTGGCTAATCTGAAAACCTTCCAATCCAAACACTTATCCGATCCCATTTTTTTCTCCCATTGACTTCCATGTTAAAAAAAACTCTGAAATCTGAACAACTCTGAATTCAAACAATGAACACTAATATTTAAAAAAATTAAGACTTAATGTGAACACTTTTCAAAAATATCACATACATTGTATTTCTTACAAAATTGCTCAAATATTTTCAATTTAACACTGATTTGTTATGATATCAAAAGTTATGAAAAAATAATATTGGTGTCAATCATAATGGGTCTTTCTAGCATGACTTAATTTATTTGAATTGAATTTTGGAATGCCATAAAGCTATGTGGTCAATAAAAATATTAATATTCATTGAAAATGCGTTTGTATTTTTTCAAATTCCAGAATCTTGCTGATGCAAAAATCTTGAAATCTGAACACCTAATCAAATCACTTTAGCGAGTCCCAATAGCACTCAGATTAGACAGCTCGGTTATACTGTACATATATTTTCTCTGTTCAAATCTCTATTAAACCCATCCCATACTGACAAGATAAAATCGTAAAGTCATAAACCTAAAATATTTCAGTACTAGTTAAATGTCCAAAGTTGGAAAAGAAACATCCAGCAAGTTCTAGCCAATAATGTCATTTCTGTTGAAAATAGCAGCCATTTTGAACTGAGTTGCAATTTGAACTTTTTAACAAGAAGTTGCAACTTGAACTTTTTGGCTATTTCAAATTAAGAAGCCACTTTGGATACAAGATCAAAGGAGGCCAAACACAGCCCCCATGGTCTAAATAAAAAAAACTGATTTGATTTCTAAATGTTTTTGCAAAGTAATAGAACACCTTGGAATAATGGAATACTGGATGGTTATTTTGAACTATAATTTAAAGATGCCTTATGTGTTCAATCTAAAATATGGATGTACATATTGTATATTACCTACAAAGCTAGCCATACGCCTGGTGACATGTACAAGGTGGGGTAATAACTCTCTGTCAAAAAACCTAAGAGGTTGACGTTCAGTGTGACGCTGCCACTTCTAGAAATGAAATAAACAAAAATCAAATTCTTTTTTCCCCTTGTAATGAGTTTTTCATCAAAATATTTAGGCAATTCCTTCTAGATATTTGTATACTGTTTATCAAATATGTTATCTAATGGGACAAGGTCATTATTCAGCTGGTGTGGGCCCTGACTGCATGGCCAAAACTATGTGTCTTGGGAGGAGGGAAAATAAATTACACTTTCAAGTCTTTCAAATAATTTTTTGAAGAAGGGAGGGGCCAATCTGAGGCCAATCAATGCAATCATGCTACAAATATTCTGATGATACTGAAACTTAGAAAGAGATACATACCACTGGTGGATCCAGAAAATTTTGGGCCCCTAAAACCAAAGATTGGGGCAATATTTTGAAAATTCAAGGCCCATATTTTGATAATTTGGCCTAAAAAAGGCCCATTTTTGAAGCCCTACAAAATCTTTGAGCTCAAATACTTTTGGGGCCCTAAATTCTTTTCTGGGCCAACAAGAGGGGGGGGTGGTGGATCCGTCAGTGCATACATATACATAGAGATTATTTACCTGGGCTACATCAAGAGCCTGGCTCAACGTTCCCCCAAATGCACCATGGTTGAGGAACACACACTCCTACAATCACTAAAAAGTTCAGTACTTTTTTCAACTGTTAAGAGAAATAGTATGAGCAGAATGAATTGCAGTGATCTCCCCCATTAAAACAAGTGTGCGCAGCACCCACCTGAGATTTTGAAAATAGGCTTGCACCCATCTGAAAATCCATTCGCACCCACTTGAAAATGAGAAAAAAACATGAAAAATTGGCATATTTTGACCAATTTTGGTCTGAATCTTGAAAATGAGAATTTTGCACCCACCTGAGAAAAAATCCTGGGGAGATCACTGAATTGGTTTCAGATTAATTATTTTAGATATGTTTCTATGCATAATACAAGCATGTAAACATTTATTATAAGATTCACTTTATCTCTTAAAAGCCCATGTCTTAACTACTGTAGCAGTTGCACAACATGCATTTCCCACCGACTCCTGAAGGAAAACCCTTAATCTATATATTGTATATGGGCTAACCAGGGGGGGGGGGTGTGCAGGCCTCTTCTCGAGCCAATCCCCATTGATTTCATTCATGGTGCTCTGACAAAAGAGAAGCTAACCTTTAAATACAAGCTATGATGATGGAGACTTTTTTTTTGTTGGGTTTCTAATATTAGCACCCCCTTGAAAAAATCATGGCCCCTGGATCCATATACAGTAAAACCTGTATAAAGTAAACACCTATGGAGCCACAAAAAGTGTTCACAGTAGGTGTTCACTACAAAGAGGGGATTCATACAAGAGTCAATGTGTCGTGCAGTGGCATTCACTGGACACAGGTGTTCACTAAAGAGAGGTGTTCACTCAGATGATTTTACTGTACCAACAAATATTTACAAAATAAGCTTTCAAATCTCTTACCTTATCCAGCAAGAAATGTTTCTCCCTCAATTTTTGGCCAAATTGTGGAGGATTTTTCCTGTATTCGTCAAAACTTGGAGTATCAAATGGTAAAGATGGGGGAACATAGGCCTCCTATATAATGTAAAATCATTGTTGCATTGAGTAATAAACCATGCTTTCAGAAGGATACTGTACAGATACATGTAGGATTTCTGGCAATATTTAATTTTTTTTCATTAATGAGCAATTAAACTCAAGAAATCTGCATGACTCATTGTTCTACAACCATTCATACATGATATTCAGTATACGGTAGAATAGTAGAATGATGTAGAGCCATTGACAAAGTTATGGTCAATTGTTTGACCATTTAGAAACTCAACTTGTGGACTTACTACATGTAGCCCCGTTAATAGCTGTAAAGTAACTTTTGAAAGGGAATGTTAACTATAGGAGTGTTGCAAATGTAGAACAGAAAGCTCAAAATTGTACTGTATAAAGACTCTGGATAGCAAGTTGCTACTACAGCTCAGCTATGATGGTTAGGACTTATGGCCCACCCTATGGCTCAACTGTAGAGCATCACACTTTGGAGCTCAAGGTCCTGGGTTTGATTCCATCACACAGCATTGAATGTGGCTTGTTACAGTACAGCTTCCTTGGGCTGCCCTCGCGTATTACATGTACATCGGTGTCAGATGTGGAATTCACCCTTGTGTGTATCCTGGGTGACAATGGGCATTGTCCTTCAGGGGAATGAGTGGATGAACGGAAAGTTGGAAGTTCTCCATAATCTATCAATAGAGTTAAGTACACGGGGAGACTTCCCACTATCCCTGCCTGAGTGATAAGTCATTACATTGGCTTTCTTTTATACATGTACATGTACACGTACATGTACATGTATGTCTCGGTTAGGCTACACCGCACCATCAATTTATTAAATGAACTTACATCTGGCAGGCTGACCAATTCCTCCACATTTGATGCATGAAATGATCCAAAATCTCTTTTTGTAGCTGCCATCTCTATGGATTATGAATGATACTGATCATAAGAACTAGAGTACAGGTCAAATCTGGAATTGGATTTGTTTTCATAAAATTTTTTTCATAAATTTCATAAACCATCTTCTAAAAAGTGACAAAATCCTAGTTTGACCAATTTGCTCTGAGGTTATTATATAAGGCAAAATTCTAAGTACATATACTTACTTGTATTAATGGTAAACAACTGCAAATTAAAGTCAAAGTCAAATCCTTTGGAATGTTTCAAATTACTACCGGATGTGCTTCGTGCTGGATTACGCTGATCTCCACTCCACTTTTATTTTCTGTCGTCTATTAGATATAAAAACAAGCACATTAGGAATTGAAACACTTGGGGTAAGTACATAAAAGATTTTTGATTCACATATATTCATATATATTTTGTCAACAATAACCTTTTGTCACAATCACTGAAGTATTTTTGATTTAGATCTACCCCTGGTTTGTCAACCGGAAGTCAGAGATATACAGCTTAGCCTACTTATGTCCTCTACTCCAGGTCACAGGATCTTGTAGCACCTTATATGGTATTGTTTATGATGACTGATATGGGGCTTTATATAGAGAGTATTATTATACTATAGGGCCTATCATAGTGCTCATCTCATATCATAGTGCTACATGTCTCTGTGCTCCAGGTACCTTGGATTCGTAGGTAATTCGTATGGCGATATACACTAACTATCTTATTTACTTCTGTTTCAGTCTCGACAGAGTCCTGTGACCGAGACCATTTTCTTTGTTTTGGTCGCTCATACCATGGTCTCTACCACTGATAGAGCCCATGCTCATACAAAAGGCGACTATTTACATTGTATTTCAAAACACGAACATTATAGCGCTAGCTATGCATATATAATATTTCTTGCTTCTATTGATTCCAACACCACAAGAAAAAGGAAAAAAGTAGAGTCCATTTCACTGCTTCATTGCGTCAGTAGAACGGCAAAAATAAGAAATTGGGAGACCATTGTGCAATAATATATGGAAAAGTATATTCATAATGTACATGAATGACATTTGTATATTTCAGATTTTTTAGTTTTTTTGTGCAATAAGCCTGTGCCGTCTTGTAATTTGAAGAATTTCAGCCATGTTAATCTTATTGAATAACATGGCAGAGAAGCATCCAAATATAAGAGGCCACATACTTTACAGTGTATAAGCTAAACTAAAAGCAATCCAAGATATACAAATGTCATTCATGTACAATGGGAATATATTTTTCTATATATTATTGCAAAATTATATTTTGATTTCTTATTTTTTAGCTTTTACTGACGAAGTTAAACAGTGAAATGGACTCTAGTGATAATTTTGATGTAAAATACAAAACATATCGAAATCAGTATTTATCATCTGCAAGTACCGTCAATTGATACTGACCAGTGAACTAAGTACATAGAGTTAGGAATTGATTTTCTACATATGCCCTGTCAACCCTCACGTATTAGGCATGATTGTCACGCATTTGCTGGAAAAAATAAAATCACGCATTAGATCTATGTTGATATTTTAAAAAATTTGCTTTTTTATAAAATGCCAATACGGTAAAAAACAAACTTCAGAAAAAGCGAACGCATTTCGTTTAGACTTTTCACTAGAAATCGGTATATGTTACGCATTTGCTTCGAAATATGTGTATATGTCAGGCATTTGCTTCGAAATATTTTGTACCTACTGTACCAAGTCACTCATGTTAAGTGTTCCCAAGTTGACAGGCCTGCTACATGTACTTTAGACAAAGGCTTTTAAAAGGGTGATAGAATTAATTTTTAAATAAAGAGGGCAGTGCAGCCGAGCTGCATTCATTCATATTTCTCCGAGGAAGATTGGCTCCCAGGATCGAAAGTTGATATCTTCCAACAATGAAAACTTCGAAATGTTGTTATTTTCTGAAATTATTAACGACTATAAATTCAAAATAAACAGTCCAAAAGATTCAAACCAATATTTCGATCATTTCATGTACGTTTTGGAATTTTTCGTTTAGAAATAAGTCCAAAATTCACGATTCAAATATTGAAGTGAACAAAATGGTGACTGTTTGAATTCGAATTTTGTAATTATGAGATGCCCATATTTGGCAAAAATATAGATGTTGCACTCTGGGAGCCAATTCTCCTTGATATTTCTCCAAGGAGGATTGGAAGCCAGGGTTCCAACTCGATATTCTTTAATCTCCAATCGATGCAGTAGTTTCCATTCCTGCCTGTTTATTTTTATGGCTGCAAGGAGAATGGCCAATATTCTTGATTGAATTTTGTATTCATAAGATGACTACTTGATACCCTTATATGGAACAGAATATTGATTGGTGTCCCTGGGAGCCAATCCTCCTTGATATTTCTCTTTAGTTTAATAGATTCAATGTTAGTGCCATCTTTATATCGGCCCAAAACCTATATGCATATGACTCTGACAATCTTCCTAAACAAGTGGAGGAATAAGCGTTTAAACGTTTATGTACATGTTGTAGCGAAGACATTATTATAGTGATATAGTAGAATAGTGATTAGCAATATGTAATTTTGATCACAGAATTTTTTGTTTTTGTACTTCCAGATGTGATATTCTGTAAATGAGAAAATGAGTGCTTCAGAAACATAGAAGGCCAGTCATCCATATAATATTGTGACATTATATAACAGAAACCATATCATTTCAAGGAATAAAATGAATGTGGAACAAAAACACCAATACATTAATACTGAAAGTGATAATGAGGAAATTACATTACAACAAAAACATGGCCAGCATATTTCAACACTTGATCTCCAAATTAAGAAAGAACCTGTTGAAATTGCAACAGAAGAATCTCAAGAATATGCTTGCCTCAGTCAACAAGGAAGTGTCTATGAGGAACAGCCATATATCAAATCTGAATATAATGAAGATACACCATTCCAAGAATGTGGACTGCAAATGCCAGCTCTGAATTTCCAAGTCAAGCAAGAACCTGTTGAAATTGAAGAAGCAAAGGAATATGCATGGGTTGATCAACCAGAATATGTCAATAATGAAATAGTAAAAAGTGAACAAAAGTATTCCTGTACATGTAGGGATACTTCTATGTGCGATGAAGGAAATTTGGATCCAGTGAAATATCAAGTCATTCAACAAGAGAATTTTGAACAAGTAGACACAGACAATCAGAATGTATTTTCAATAATCGACGTAAAATCTGAAAAGCACAATGAACAAAATGACACTGACGTGATATCATTAGCAAAAACTTGGAGGGAATCATTTAAATGTAAGGATTGTGGAAAATGTCTAACCAATTCTTCACAATTAAAAAGCCATATGGCAACCCACACTGGAGAAAAACTTTTCAGGTGTAAGCTTTGTAATAAAAGCTATAGCAACTCTAAATATTTAAAGAAACATAATTTTACTCATCATGGTGATAAACCATTTAAATGTAAAGATTGTGACAAATGTTTTACAAACGCTTCAAAACTAGAGAGCCACATGAGAACTCACACTGGAGAAAAGCATTTCAAGTGTCATGACTGTGGTAAATCCTTTGGCACTTTTAGCGTTTTGAAGAGACACATAATGACTCATACTGGAGAAAAAACATTCAACTGCCTAGATTGTGACAAATCCTACGCGAGCATATCTGGTTTAAGGAGTCATACCAAGATTATTCATAATGGGGAAAAACCTTTTGAGTGCCATATTTGCGATGAACGATTTACCTCAGCCTCAGTACTGATGACCCACATAATAACCCATACTGGAAAAAAAACTATCGAACCTCGGGATTCTGATCAACACAATAACATCTCTGATTTGAAGACCCCAATTGGGACCCTTACTGGGGAAAGACCATATAAATGCAAGGAATGTGGTAAATATTTCAGTACACCTTCTACTCTGAAGTCACACATGAAAATCCACACTGGGCAAGACTCATTCAAGTGTCCAGAGTGTGATAAATGTTTTATATCAGTTTCAAATTTAAAGAAACACATCAGAATTATCCACGAAGGAGAAAAGCCCTTCAAGTGTCGTCATTGTGATAAACGTTTTTCTGCAGCTTCTGTTATGGTGACACATATGATAACACACACTGAAGAAGACACTTTCAAGCCCCAGGATTTTGAAAAATATAATAGCACCTCACTTGATTCAATTCACACAATTTGAGTTATAAATGAGACTAAAATAAGGTTTGTTAATTTTATGTCTGCCTGCTGACCTGTCAACCCCCGTAGATTTTCTCGAATGTAATTTGTCATTTGTGTACCTGCAGGACATTCAAGGGATTTATGTGCACTCGCAAGTAGGCAAAGTTTTGATCAAATTCATGGGACAATACGCTAATTGCCAGCTGGTTGACAGGTCTGTGTCTGGATTGTGAAAAGTCAGGTCATATTCACATCTGGTTAATCTCAATACAATTTCTAAATGACTATTCAGAGTGTTCCAGAACTCATGGGAATTTTTTAGGGAGATATAAGGCAAGGGTGATTTTTCTTCTTTAGTACACTAATTAAACATACATTGAGGAATAACTGACATACATTTCAGACACATATGGTTTACATACAGGGTGGGCCAAAAAATTTTGCAACCTTTTTAGAAGGCAAAAAAAGTATCATAACATTATGGTATTGACATGAATTTTTTTTTACAGAAACTTAAGGATAGGCATATTTTACCATTCAAATACTTTAGCTAATACTGACTTCAAATTTTTTTGTCAGATGTTTGAATATTAATGGTAAATTGTTCATTTGTCCGAGATTTACCATTTTTCCTAGAAAGTCTGACTTTCTATGATTTTTTGTGATCAACAATAACACATTCATTATGTTTACTAAATCTGCTACAATCTTTGATAACTGTTTAACCAATGTCTAGTACAGGTTTATATCAGTATCTAGTCACTATGGTAATATTGTTACATTGTATTAATTATTTATTAAACAAATGTTCTATGCATCCGCCTTTCACCTTCACAATCACATGGTGACGAGAATTGAACTGGTCAATGGCAAGATCCAGCAGTTCTTGTGGTAGTCGTCTTTACTTATCCTGCAGAACTTCTTATAGTTGATCAATAATTTGTGGGGTATAACCATTAACTACAATACATTGCTCCAGGTGCCCCCATGTGTGAAAGTCCTAGGGGTTGGCATCTGGTGTATTGGGTGGCCATTCGACTCAGGACTAATCTTCTTCAAAAGGGACATCTTTCAAGAATGGGGGCTCTTTCAGCCCCAAGTGATTATATATTCCAGCAGGATAGCCTCCTGACCATAGGCCCAAAGTCACTATGGAATATCTGGAGCAAAAATCCCCTTGATTCATTAGTCCTGATGAATAGCCCTCCCAATACACCACTTAACAAAGATTGCATCAGCTTTAGTGAACATAATAAATGTTCTATCGATGATCACATAAAATTATAGAAAATCGGTAAATCTCGGACACATGAACAATTTACCATTAATATTCAAACTACTGACAAAAAAATGTGTAGTCAGAATTAGCTTAAGTATTTGAATGATAAAATATGCCTATCCTTAAGTTTCTGTAAAAAAAATTTCATGTCAGTACCATAATGTTATGATACTTTTTTTGCCTTCTAAAAAGGTTGCAAAATTTTTTGGCCCACCCTGTATATCCGAATTTTTTGAGATTTGAATTCTACATCTAGTTGTCAGAAAATGCAACAGTTTACTAGATTGTCACTTTTTGAAATTTTTTCAATTTTTGATTAAATTTTCAACAATAATACCAATCTTTTTTTAGCATTAGAAGAAGGAAAGAAGGAAAATATTTAAAAGTTTGTGAAGAGTAGCAATTGTGTTATTAATATTATATCAATAGAAAAATATAACAAATAACTACAGTAAAACCTGAGTTAGTGAACACATCTCTCTAGTGAACACCTATTAACAGTGAACGTTTTTATTCGGCAAAACCTTTTTCTCCCATTGACTCCCATGTTAAAGTGCAATCCTATAGTGAACACCTACCAACTATGAACAGTGAACACTAAACCCTGGCAAAATCAGTTGTATGAATTATCCTGTCTCTAGTGAAGATTGAATCAGATATAAGATTTCTCGCGGATTTTCTTCAACTGCCTTATCAGAGTTTATGTTTATATTACCTGCCAAAAATAATTAAAAGGTCAATTTGAGATCTCGATCTCGTCTATTGAAACAGGTGTGACTAATTAAATAAGCTTTGTTTTTATAACACAGGATATGCGTCTGGGATTGATTGCTTGGAGATAATCTGGTTAACTATTATTACCTCTATCTGCTGAGTCCCAACTAAATATTTTTCTCATCCCATAAATTTAAAAAACAGATTGGATCAAAATTATAATTCATGATCATTTTACTATTAACTGCATCTATCATGTCCTTTAACTAATTCAATAAAGTCATTTAACTGACTCAAATGTCTCAAAAATTCCACTTTTTAAAGGACCATGTTGATGAGATAAAAAGAATTATATAGAGATAAAAATTTGACAATAAAAGGATGAACCATTCAAATGACATGAATGACAGTCAGTGTAAAATAAGTCAGTTTGTATATAACATTACAACAGATAAATACTTAACGCTTGAGTGTCATGGGTTAATATGGGTAGAAAATACAATTTAAATTGATTATTCCCTCCTCTCTTTTAATAGCTGGTCTCTTGATATAATACGGCAAAATGCCGCGAAATCAAATCATTGCTGTAGTGAACATCTACCAACAGTGAACATTTTTTCTTGGCAAAAAATTGTTCACTATACGCAGGTTTTACTGTACAATTAGAGTATAATTTTAGACATGATGTGATGTGTTTTGTGTGTAAAGATGTGCCAGCAAAGGGAGTGAACAAATTACCAATATCGGGGGTTTCATTAGCACCAGACAACAGGCGATTTTCACAACAAAGGGGACATTATCTTAGAAATATAGACAATCAATGTCCTAATTGCTTCCGTCCTTATATCTCCATATCTACCTTGTTGCTGATAATATTGTAAACCAAGCCAGATTTGTGGCTATGTTTGAATAAATGGCTGTGTTCGATCGCTTTTTACGCTTGCGTTTCGTAGGCAGGCGAATTGAAAGCTTAGTGTCTCATGTCTTGCCTAATGTATCATAAAGCGTTCATATTTCCATCATAGATTCATACAATATTTACAATGATTTCACACTAATGAGAATATGACTGACATAAACAACAGGTCAGAGCAGCCATTTCTAAAATTAAGCAACCTTGTACATGTTGTAATGAGGTTTTGATCATTTATTCAAAAGAAAACTAATTTAAAACTTCGCAAATATTACCCAGTCCCGCTCTACCCTTATTTAGGTTACCATAGCAACCATAACTTCAGAAATATTTGTTACAAACATCTTAATTTTTTATAACATTTGAGGAAATGAATTACCGAGTACTCTGGAAATATTGTGCCAAACCATGGGCTTTCAACTAGTTGAAAGTCCATGGCAAAACGAATGATAAACTTTTAAGTTAGAGCATTTTTGTCAGGACTTCTGGATCGGCCCTTGTACATGTATTACTCTCAAATGTATGAGGGTATATTTCTACTGAAAATATGTCTGTTGATGCAAGATATATATCAGCTGAGGGGCAACTCCACAATCCTGAACTGAAATACCCATAGGTGATTTGTGTGTCCGACCACATTCAATCCCTTGAGCTGAGAAATTAAAGAATGTCAAAAATGAAGTTTACTGGAAAGTTGAAAATGTGGCAATTAGTTAGAAACCCATGCCTCTCTATCGTTTCAAAAAATGTACCCAACGTGTCAGTCTCTGTTAATTTATGGCATCCATACTTTTTTGAAAGGTAACACTTTGAGGCTCAATTTTTTGCTGGATGCCCTTGCAAACTCTCATTGGTTGCTCTGTATTGTAGCATTCCGTTACCATGGTTACGCATCTATAGACATCTTACCTTGGAATATTAAATCATTTGTAACTTTGTCATTATTTGGTCTATAGAGATGATATTGGTATCAAATTAAACCTAATTCAATTTCTCATAAAGAAATGATATTCAATTATGCAAATTAGCTCATTTGCATAAATTGTGACGTCATCAATCAATTTTCGATTCAGAATTTTCGAGAATAGCAACATATCTATAAGAACTGAGGCCGTAAGTCAGAATTTCGGCAAAGTTTGGTCCTTTAGACTATAAGAATAATGTATAAGCAACATAAAAGTGAAAACAGATTCAAAATTGGATCAGTATTGCCAAAGTTATTAAACTTTCAAGGCAGCTACTGTGAATGTCATTATTTGACAATTATATTCAGACATCTTACCATGGACGTTTAAAGTGTTTGTAACTTTGTCATTATTTGGTCTATAGAAATGATATTGGTATCAAATTAAACCTTATTCAATTTTCTGTACGATTACAATATTCAATTATGCAAATTAGCTAATTTGCATAAATTGTGACGTCATCAATCTATTTTTGTTCAGAATATCCCAGTTTAGCAACATACAATACATTGTATATATTAATTTAGGCCGAATGACAGAATGTGTTCATAGTTTTGACCTTTATTTGATGAATGGAAGATAGAGGCAACATTCAAGAGACAACAGATTCAAAATTGGGTCAGAATTAGCAAAGTTATTCAGCTTTTGGGGCAGCTACTATGAACGTCATTGTTTGACAATTATAAAAATATTACAATAACAAAAAAAAGAAAGAAGCATAGTTATTTCAATCTTATTGAGTAAAAATGGACATGATTTGTTCATATTTTTCCATTGAACTGAACATGAAAGTATGTGGAAATGTTAAATGTATTTTGACTATCATTCACAGGGGTCAAAATCATGTGATCTTGATCCTGTATTTTAAAATCCAATTTTATAATTTACCATACACTGTCAATGATCCATATGAATGCATAGTAATGCTTTAATTATGCTATTTTGACATGTGTTGACTAATATACATATCAATATTTACAAAATTTATATGGAAGAGTATTCCTGGTTTCATTTGATTTCTAACATGTAAAAAAGCTGAAAACAAAATTTTGTTGATATTTGGACATAAACTAAATAAATCTTAATTACCATTTTATATTTAAAATACAGATAGAGTGTCAACTTTAGAACTTTGATGTTAACATTTCCAAAAATCAATGCCCAAAATAAGTCAATCGGTGACAAATGGCGAGCCCACACAGCTAATGTGACAACTACTTTAGGGGAATTTTTTTTACCTTCAAAATCCTTGGTGATTCAACCTTAGAATGATTTATGTTATAGCTTTTCAGAAAATGGACTATAAGCAGAGAGTAGGTACTTAGAGAAGCAAAATGAAAAGTAGTTTTTATATAATTTTGCATAATATAACCTCTTCGGTATGCAATGAAAAATGATGACAAAATCCATACAAGAGCTCAGTAGTAGTACTAGTAATCCTGAAATTAAAGTCTATTGATCAAAATAGCCACAAAGAAAAAATGCCCGTTAAAATATTTTTGAAAGAAGTGATTTTTGTAGGACTTCAACTAACCCTTCCTACATCTATCTCTTATGTCCTGAAGTATGTATGGTATAGGACATATAATCTGAACTTGTTTTAAAAGGTTTCCAAAATATGAAATACCAAAAATCTATGAAAAAATATGAGTCTCAAATGGATGGATTTCAGATATACCCCCATAGAGTATGAATACCATTCAAAACTGAGAACCATAACAACAGGAGATTTAAGTGCAAAATAAAGGAGTTAATCACATAGTATGATTGACAGAGGTTGAATCTAAACTATTTTAATTTACATGTTTTATAGTTTAGAAGCTTTAATATGGAATGATCTCATCTAACGAAGATCTAATCAATATAACAGATTATATCAAAATGTCTCAGATGTACATGTAGCCCTGGCAAAAGTCATCACAATAAGATGTGCTGAGAGGAGCTGAATCAATGTCACAGCTATAGATGATGTTAACAAGGAGATTAATGTCACACAGATGATATTTGGGAGTCAAATCACACTGGTGAGGTGAACATGGAGATGTGACAAAGATGATGGAAACATTAAGAATAAAAGGCATCCCTGTCATGAAAGTCACCACTGAAAAAGATTAACAAAAGAAAAAATCAACCCCTGCCATATGGGTCCTTGACATGGGTAATGCTACATGAATATCGATGTTGCATATACGTACATGTAGATGGCTATAACATGAATGAATGCCATATAGGTGATGTTAACGCGGATATCAATGTCACATGGATAACATGGTGATAAAACGTTAATTTGTTCAAAGTTACACCATTAAGGTGATGCTAGTCACATGGAAATCAGTGTCACATGTATGTAGGAACTATTGGGTTAAAGTCCTCGCTTCATCAACACTCAATATAAAAATGCAATGCTATTTATGAATTATAATAGCTTGGTATGATAAATAATACAAGGTGTCTCAAAAAATGTACCCAAAAGTATATTAACGCCACTGTTAAACCAATCAATTTTTTCAGACATTTTTGCATGATCAGTTTGCTAAAGCATGTAAGTTTCCTCCCTATTACAAAGTTTTTAGTTCAGTCTTCCATTTTGATTATTTAACCCTTTACTTTTTACTTCATATTTCGATGACAATCTGTATATGTTTTTATTATTCTTAAATCATAGTAATTTACAAAGTACAAGGAAGCAAGACCAATCGCCATTTGGCATTACAGGTCGCTTTAACATAAATATAGTCTAGAAGCAAGTAATAATAAAAAAAATACATAAAACTATTGAAAAGTTTTGTTGTTAATTGCTTAGTTGTTTAGTTGTTGGGGCTATTTTGCTCCAGGAGGTTTGGGCAAGTTTTAGATTCTCGTTGGGTGAATGTAACATGATCTAACAAAGTTGAGCACAATGTTAAGTAGTAAGTTTTGTGAATCACGGCTAAGGGTATTTTCATAGGGGAGATATTTGACTTGATCATTTCGGTTGGTGTAGATGTTCTCATCATAGAGAAGGTTGTTTTGTCTAAGTGCAGTAATCATGTTTGTCCTATCATCAGTATGGCGGGGGCAAGAAAGGAGAAAGTGTTTAGTATTTTCAGGGGATCCACATGGGCACTTCTTGTCAATTACACCAATAAAATTATGAGAGAAAAAGTGTTCTTTTAAAAAGAAATCGACACAAAGTCTGTTTAAAATTTTCTTATTTGACCTTGTTAAGTTTAGCTTGGTTGTTGAAATGAAATTTATGTTTGGGAGAATTGTTAACCAAACAGCATTTTTAAAACTAGAGATGGTTGGTAATTCTCTTATAAGTTGGCTAAGGTTGTTCCATTGATTTATAATATTTAAGACTAGTGCTACATAGTTCATCACATTTGATAATGCTTCAGGTGGAACGTTTTGAATTTCTCTGTGAGTGTTGGCCTTATGTTGTTCTAGGTCTTTTGGCTTGGGATTAGCTTAACATGTTCCTTCAAATAGCCCCAGAGAAAGTAGTTCCAAGGTTGAAGATGACAGAACAATCACAGAGAACCAGCTCAATTATCGTCAAATGATTTAGCGGTTAATTGATAATGGAGTTCCATCTCCCAGAGTAACAGAGACCGAATGATATCCAAATGAGAACACTGTGGTTCCAGACAGTTTGAGCCCCTGCATTTACACTCGGCAAGGGCCACACAAAAATTCCCATGAAAGCAGTTTCTTCTCTCTATATAAAGACAGTGTGAGGGCCTCCCTATTCCACAGATTTGACACTCCAAACATTTTCTCTGGAATGACTTCAACAACCATGTTTATTATATTTATCCCAAGCCAAGAGACATAGAACAATTTGAGGTCAACATGTGAAAGGAAATTCAAAACATTCCACCAGAAACATTATCGTATATGATAAACAATGTAGCACTAAGGATGCAGGCTTTTATCGAAATGTAAGGAGGTTAAATTAAACACATGGTATAAAAAGGGTTAAAGCATCAAAAAGGCAAGACTGAACTAAAAAATTAGTATTGGAGAGAAAACTTACATGCTTTTCCTAAATGACCATGCAAAAATATCTGAAATATTGATTGATTTATCTTTGCTGTTGATATACCTTTGATTCATTTTTTGAGACACTCTAGATAATAAAAATTGTATCTTTAATGTCACTGCCAGTAATCTGACAAAATGAATGAAGGGAGTCAATTTCTGCTAGAAAATTCAACAAATAAGATTTTCATTCTTCAAAATGCATATTGTATGGTAAAATCAGTTAGGTTTTAGGTGTAAGAATGGCGCAACGTCACCAGCATGCAAAAAGTCAATCTTTGAATCCTCTTCAATGCAATAAATCAAAATGAATGTTCTTGCTGTTTTTTAAATGAGGCTTTTAAAAATATGTATTATTTTGATGTTTTTTATAACATTTTGTAAATAATTCAAACAAGGCATAAATATGCAAATTGTCACAACTTGCCATTTGTTACAGATGCCAAAGGCCAGTCACCAGATGTCAAATGCTGTCTCAAAAATGGAAACAAATGGAGAATAATATGTCACCGCTTTTGGTGGTGACTTAAAAAACAGTAATGACATACATTTTGTGAAATAACATCATCAATTTGTATAAACAGGTCATGTAGATGATTACTGATCGAATCGCAGCACAAATATTAATGTTTGACCAGTTATGATGTTTCGTCTTTTTAAATAGATTGACACTTATGAAGCAAATCAGTTTAAAAATTCATGTAGATGTTTACTGCTTGAATTGCAGCACAAATATTGATGTTTGACCAGTCATGATGTTTCGCATTTTAAATAGATTGACGCCTATGAAGCAAATCATTTCAAAAATTTATAGATTACATAACAGATTTCACCATACCATTCACCCATTCACTAACTGATTAATCCATAACTTTCTCACAAACAATAAATCATGTTACAAAATAAAAAAAACTGTTTTGACCCCTGTCAATGATAGTCAAAATTGTGAAAACTAGTACCCTTATCATTTATATACACCAACTAATTCAGTGACATGTAAAATATATTTTTTCATTCAATAAGCTTGAATCAGCTTTGTTTCATTTTTGTTATTGCAGTGTTTTATTTTTGATTGTCAAATAGTAACGTTCATAGTAGCTGCCTCGAAAGCTGAATCACTTTACTAATGCTCATTCAATTTTGAATATTTATTTATGTTGCTCATACCTCTTCCACTCATAGAATAAATGACAAACTATGCAGAAACTACACCATACAACCTCGTATCTAATAAATTTGTTGCTATACTTGGAAGTTCTGAACCAAAAATAGATTCATGACATCATCATTTATACAAATTAGCTAATTTGCATAATTGAATATCGTTACCATACCGTTTATTCAATTAGGATCAATTCGATACCAAGATCTCCTCTATAGACCAAATAATGACAAAGCTACCAAACATTTCAATTCTAAGGCAAGATGTTTAAAGTTAATTGTTCAATGATAACGTTCATGGTAGCTTCCGAGAAAGTTCAATAAGTTTGTTAGTTCTGATCCAATTTTGAATCTGTTTTCACTTTTATGTTGCTTAAACCTTCTGCTCATAGAATAAAAGTCATAACATTGAAGAAATTCTACCGTACGGCTTCAGTTCTTAAAGATACATTGCTATACTTGAAAATTCTGAACCAAAAATAGATTTATGACGTCACAATTTATGCAAATTAGCTAATTTGCATAATTGAATATTTTAATTATATGAGAAATTTACTTAGGTTTAATTTTATACCAATATCATATCTATAGACAAAATAACGACAAAGCTACAAATGATTTAAGATTCCAAGGTAAGATGTCTATAGATGCGTAACCATGGTAACGGAATGCTACAATACAGAGCAACCAATTAGAATTTGCAAGGGCATCCGGCAAAAAATTGAGCCTCAAAGTGTTACCTTTCAAAAAATTATGGATGCCATAAATTAACAGAGACCGACACGTTGGGTACATTTTTTGAAACGATAGAGAGGCATGGGTTTCTAACTAAATAGCAGGATGTAGACATTACGAAACATTGTCTGTAGCTCTATTATATGAAGACGCTACCAAGCCTTTTCAACTTAATGAGAAATTCTATCTTATACAAGACTGGCCTGGAGAAATCTCGACATCATGTATCTCATATAGTATTTCATATATTGTTGAAAACGCAACATTTTTTGACATAAAACTCATGTAATAATGAGGTTCAGATTATTTTTTATTGGGGTTACCATAATACGTGTATGTCTATTTAACATCGTGGTAAGCCACGCCCTCTCCATCTCTATCCTTCTGGACAGATGCTGAGTAATCCCGAATGCTGTTTAGGGCAGATTGATTAGTCAAGGGTCAAATACCCTAAACTGAAAAAAGAATGATGTGTATTCTAAACTAGTGTGCTCTAAAGATCCTAGAAAAATTGACAGTTCAGGAGATTCTTGAATGATAACTTCCACGGAACATTATTTAAAAAAGGAGGAGGGTTGTTTTATTTCTCTCATGTAATAAAACATCTTCTTTGGGAAATCCAATGATTAAATTATAAAAGTTATATCTTCATTAGAAAAATAGGATATTAATTTTTTTAATATTGGATAAAACTGGTATATGTAGATTGCAATGAACCATAACATTTATCACATGAAAAATAACATTAGGGCTATTCTATATTTATCACATGATAATAACATAAGGGCTATTCTATATTTATCACATGAAAATAACATTAGGGCTATTCTTTTTTTTATCACATATTTATCGCATGAAAATAACATTACGGCTATTCTATATTTATCACATGAAAATAACATTAGGGCTGTTCTATATTTATCACATGAAAATAACATTAGGGCTATTCTATATTTATCACATGAAAATAACATCAGGGCTATTCTATATTTAGCACATGATAATAACATCAGGGCTATTCTTTTTTTATCACATATTTATCGCATGAAAATAACATCAGGGCTATTCTATATTTATCACATAAAAATAACATTAGGGCTATTCTATATTTATCACATGAAAATAACATTAGGGCTATTCTATATTTATCACATGAAAATAACATTAGGGCTATTCTATATTTATCACATGAAAATAACATTAGGGCTATTCTATATTTATCACATGAAAATAACATTAGGGCTATTCTATATTTATCACATGAAAATAACATTAGGGCTATTCTATATTTATCACATGATAATGACATTAGGGCTATTCTATATTTATCACATGAAAATAACATCAGGGCTATTCTACAATTATCGTACCTGCAGTAATATTTTAAATGTTTGTAAGTATTTTGAATTTAAAAAATAAGCAATCAAATGACAAAATTGAAACAGTAAATGTAGAAATAGAAACATTTATATTTATCCTAACTTTTGTATAGTTTAGTTTGTTTTGTAGTTTAGCTATCATATCTGCAGATCTGTGGCCTCTTATATTTTGATGCTTCTCTGCCATGTTATTTTCGGAAAAATTAACATGGCTGAAACTCCCTAAATTACAAAAGGCCACAGCTTTGCTGCACATTATACATTATTATCTGAAATATACAAAAGTTAGGATAAATATAAATGTTTCTATTTCGACGGCCATCTTGCATTCTGGTGGCCATCTTGGAAGTTTTTAGTTAAATCTTGTTATCGCGATTCCAGGAAAACTACTTGACGGATTTCCTTCAAATCTTCACACATATTACAAGATAGGAAGTTCTAGAGCTGCTAACTTTTTAGGCGCCCATATTGCATTCTAGTGGCCAACTTGGATGTTTTTAGATTAACGTTTCACACAGATTAACGGATTTACTTCAAATGTTTACACATGTTACATGGTAAGAAGTGACAGAACTGCTTAACTCTTTGGTGGCCATCTTGCTTTCTGGCCCACCAAGCTGCAATGTTTAAGGTACGATATTGTTCACCTTGTGCCTTGTTCCTTTTACGTATAGCCCAATTAAAAAAAATGCAATCGGATATCCAATGTTAAACAGTAACTGAATTTCTAACATTGGATTTCCCTGTCGAATTTTCTAATTCCACATGAAAAGAAACAATGTCATAACCATACCACTCAACCAAATTGTATTATGAGACATGAAATTAATAAAAGCATCTCTGACGATTCTTTATTTTGTTTACGATTTCAGTTTTATGGACAATATTGTCAATGTGATCCACGCATATTTGTTCTTTTACCAAATAATACAGTTCTTCAAAGGAGATTGAAAACATACTTTCATCAACAGAAATATGAAACACATCCATGACGTCATTCCGGAACCCGTGTGAGATCCACAATTTGTCACCTTTTCTGTGACATGACTGTTCATCGTAGTGCTCATATGTTCCATAAACGACACATCATACGTAACGTTAATCTCCCTAAGCTGGATGAACGGGATCGTAGTTTTTTCTTTGATGCGTTCAGAGTTTGACGCCATTTTCTTGTAAATCTGAGACAATGTGTAGCTCACAGGGAAAGATGTATTGAATGTGAATTTATCATTACCAAAAGCATGGTAGATCTCGATCAAACCAACTGGATCAAATATTTGTTTAATGTAAGTCTCGATGACATGAAAAACATCCACGTTCGGTTCAATGAAGAAATAGCAAATGATTTGAACTGGAACAATGTTGCTCACTAGTTTGCATTCATTCCCAGCTCGTACATACGCTTTTGGACAACTTAAAGCCTTGCAAACACTATCCGAGTTACACTCTACCTCAACATCCAATCCACCGATGCCCTGTCCAGTTTGAGATCTTAATGTTATGTCATTATCTGATGTCACATCCACCAGTATTTTGATGGAAAATAATGACATGTCGGGAACCCTCAGACTTATCTGTCTCAAAATTAAGGTACACACAGACCTTGGGCGATCAGTTTCTGTACATATGAGGCAATACCAATTATGGTAGGCATGGTATTGTTGTTTGTATGTGGAATAAGGGTCTAAGTTAGAGTTCGCACACCGACTGGCCAGTGCATAGTCTGTTCCCTCCGGACATGTATGGATAGTTGGTATGCATGGCCTCAGTTGTTGATCAATATTTTTCAAAGGAGAGATATATTCAACAGAACACCAACGTGATTGCATTACCTTCGATAATGTAATTGGTCCAGGGTTCTGAAAATCCGACTCATCCAGTACGTTTCGATGGCAGCTGTAATTTGTCTCCCACAATACAGGGGACTTGACATTGTTACATCTTGCGCAAAACACGTTGCTGTACTGGATACCTGGAACAAAAACTTTGAAATTGGTATACCGAACTTAAAACGCGCCCTCGGTCACATTTGCTCTACAACGGGCGTATGGCGACCGTAGCTTTACAAATCGATACAGAAAATCTACATCGTACGGCTTATCCCTATTAATTTCATGCTGCTTATTTCTAGCGATTTTGGGAAGCTATGACCGCTACACAGTTGCCGCAGATCATACGTGACTGAGGCATTACGTGCCTTTATCAATAAAACGCCCAAGGGATTTGTTTTAGAAGAACTGTAAAAATCATGTTCATGGGACATTAGGCGTTTAATGTTATTTTTCAGATAAAAGGCAGCAATTTTATAATAGGTTCTCATTTTTGAGAAAAGTCGATATATTTATATCTATAATTCACATGTGCACAGTTTTGATTGTTAAGACATGTGTTACATTTACGCTAGATTATATAATATTAATTGCATGTTTTGACTTTTTGAATTACGTCGATAAACAATACCTTTTTCGACGTCAGATGCTGGTAATATACTAAGGAGGGTATCCCTGTTTCTACATTTTTCTTCTAAATCAGTCCCACTATGATCACTTGCACACGTTTCATCCATGTACACCATATCTGTTTGGCTTATTTTGATGCAACCATATTTAGATATTTGCCCACTCGTCTGTTCACCATATTTGGTGTTGTTGTAGATGATGTTGCACTCGCTCTCAAAATCAACACAACAGTCTTGGTAGTGGACACATTTGTCGTCACATTGGCAGTAAGAATCACTGAGACTGCTCGTATTTTTCGGCACACCGCATCTGTCCTTACACGAGCGCATTTTCTGATCGCATATTTTTTTCTCCATTTCATTTTCAGTTTTGAAACTGATATTCTGTTGTGGAGATATATCTCGGATTTCGCGTACATGTAAGTTTTCGTCTCCGTTAGGTTTCTGCATCTCTTTAAAAAGATCATTATAGTAGGTTTCTCTGGTTTCGAATGTATTTCTTGCGAAAATAACCAAAACGAAGTAAAAGTAACGCTTCATTTTAGTGCCGAAGTTGAAATGAAAAAAACTCCCTGTTTCTTAAATCATGTAGTGCGACTGCGACTTGTAATTTATAAAACACGGTCCTTCTATTGACAAAGTTGACACTCTGTCATGGCATTAGGATTTCCTTTACACAGTACCATCCTGATAGCCCACGGTGCTGTTGCTTAGACATCATAACTAATTAATTCGTAGAAAGATTAGATAAGAGTAGCAAGATAATTAAGAAAGTAATATTATTCTTGTGTATTTGTCTATTAGGGAATGCGAAGTTGCATGTTCTAATTTACACGCTTTATAACCATCATGATAAACCATGGCATCTCATTTCTTCTCGGCATGAGATGTTTCAGGTGGAACAGAAATATGCTATGAGTATCAGAATGCTTTATAACCATCATCTATCGGTTTCCCTCTCACTGATGGTGTTTGAACTAACATAATATAATACAAATTCACAGCCTTTATGAATCCGATTAACTGTTTCAGAGTCCCCTGAAGATTGCCAGCCTAACACCAGTGTTATTCTAATTATCACTCATTTGGGATTACTAAGAACCTATTGTTTGTCACTGGCTTTCAATCATATTTGAGTTCAACAATAAATTAAGTAGCATTATACTTTGTAATTGTTTCCTGATTGAGCGGAGACACTGGTGATGCGCTCGATTACGCTGGTTACCGAAACGGTTCGTTTCGGTAACAAAATGTTTGAATGTCGAAGGTACGATTTTTCTTTTTTCCTTATTTCGAACGTTGTAGGCAGAATTCTCACGACATTTTTAAAACAAACGTGTATCGGTATTAAAATAATGTTTAAGAAAATGGACATATTGGCGAACAAATAGTTCAGAAGACAACGGAATCGTCGATTTAATTTCTCACTTAAGTTACAGAAACGGTATTTCGAAAAACAGTTAAGACCTTATTTAGCAATCGAACGTTTTTGGACACTCAATGAATAAGTCAAGGGTGGAAGAGGCAGGTCACTGTTCGAGGAGGGGCATATAGAAGCTTTCCATTCGAGCGTTAACTCGATAACCGGTTTACAGAGAATGCATTTGCAGTATGGTTGCTCATTATTCAAAATGTCCCATTTACTTTAAAAATGTAATTATCTCAAATACCAGTTGACGGATTTGACGCATATTTCATATGCTCATGTGCCTTACAGCCTTATAGATTCTGCTCAAGATTTTTTACAAGATGACCGCAGAATTCAAAATTACAGCCACTTTTTGCAAAGAAAATGTTATGCACTGGCAGATGTCTCGTGCTCAAGAAATAATTTTCAAAACGGCTTCTGAATTCAAAATGGCTGTCGAATATAATTTCAAATATGATTTCCGATAAATGCAAGTTATCATTGTTTGTGTGTTCGTATGCTATACGGATGGAAGTATCGTTGCAATTTTAAAAGTGTAACCATTGTTACTGATGTCAAACGCAGGTCACAAATGGTGGCGTAACAGCCTAAACAATAAAGCCCGGTATACACCAATGGGGCAAGTTGGGACCTCCATAGACTTAACATTGCGTGGGACCTCGTGGGACCTTTTGGGATTTTGCCCCATGAAGTCCGTGTGACTCCATGGGACTCCGTCGGATTTTGCCCCATCTTGCCCCATCGAGTCCCACGAGGTCCCATGAAGTCCACGTGGGACTCGATGGGGCAAAATCCCACGAAGTCCCATCGAGAATGAACATGTTCACTGGTGGTGACTTGGTATGTGTGTATCCAGCCTTTACGAATTTTGAATAAGATTATAATAATGCAGGAGTATGGCTCTATTCACAGAATAATGTATTTATTTTTGATTTTTTGACACATCACAAACGGAAATTGTTCCCATAATTTCGACGTGACCAAAGGTTGAAGGCTTTTTGCCAAATTGAGATTTGGCATATAACACATGGTATATGAAAACTAGCGTCAGGGTTGTGCATCTCTGATCGTTTGGATATGTCTATCAATCTCATCTTGTTTTAAACCTTTCAATTTGTACAAGTCTGCGATATTTGCTAACATATTTTCAGTCTTTAGATAGTTGAATTCACCATCGCAATCCACATCCCATGCAGGTACCGTTCCAACGATTGGAATGTCAGCCTCGGTACAACAAAGGTATGGGCCAGCCGTGACACGACCGATCAACAGAGCACTGTCCTCTTCAACGCACGACCCGGAGCGGTAGAAAACTCCTAATTTTCGTCCGGGTGGAGGGATCCTTGTGTAATGTCTCTCACACATCACTTGTCCGAGTGCTTTTAGGCGAATGCTGCCAGGAACCTCTACAATGATTTCAGACGCCAGGCCTTCCGTCCCCCATTCTTCCAAGACCTCTCTGCGACAGTCCAGGGGGCAGTCATGTAAGGTAGCGCGGCAAGATTCGCAATCCTGCTGTGGGAAGAAATACAGGGTGTCCTCTAAGTCGTGCACCAATGTTCCAAATTCTTCTTCTCCCGCGCTTTCGTTTCCTAACACACGGAAGTTACACCTGCATCTAAAACCCAAATTTTGCTTTCTACATCATTCTTTTAAAATACTTGCTTTAATACCAAATATTTTTCCGATATTATAAATTCTCACCAACTGCATTATAAATACAGAGAGTTTTGCAACTAAATTGTAAACAGGTTCAAGTACTGATAAAAATGCGGTAACTTTTCTAATTTTATATATTTCTGACTAACCTTTCTACTGTATATTGTTGAGTATTGTATTGTACTGTGGGAGTTACAAGAATGTACTTTAACAGGGAGGTACTGGGTGGAGCCTAAGAATGCAATTACATATCACGGAGAGCCCATGATATCACAGAGCAGTTTAAGATCAGCAGAAAGGGTAACTGGACAACTCGGACCCAGGACAACTCGGACCCAGGACAACTCGGACCCTGGACAACTCGGACCCAAGACATCTCGGACCCAAGACAACTCGGACCCAAGACAACTCGGACCACTTTTGAAATGATGATATTTACATCATAATATGGGGTTTTAATTTTTGTTTTATGTTTAGATGACATATATTATGTACTGTGCATTCATTTATTGTGTTAATTTGATGAAATTGTTTTAAATAAACTTATTATTTGATGGTAGTTAAGAAGAAAATATTGAAGCTAAAGACCCAAGACAACTCGGACCACTTTTTGAAATTATGATTTTTATCATGATATGGTACTTTATTTTTTATTTTATGTTTAGTATGACATATTATATATATTTTGAATTCAAATGTTGTGTTAATTTGATGTAATTGTTTAAAATCAACTTAATTGATGAGAATTAAGAAGAAAATATTGAAGCTAAAGATCCAAGACAACTCGGACCACTTTTTGAAATTATGATTTTTATCATGATATGGTACTTTATTTTTTATTTTATGTTTAGTATGACATATTATATATATTTTGAATTCAAATGTTGTGTTAATTTGATGTAATCGTTTACAATCAACTTAATTGATGAGAATTAAGAAGAAAATATTGAAGCTAAAGATCCAAGACAACTCGGACCACTTTTTGAAATTATGATTTTTATCATTATATGGTTTTTATTTATTTTATGTTAAGTATGACATACTCGTATACATATTGTGAATTCAAATACTGTGTTAATTTGATGTAATTGTTTTAAATCAGCTTAATATTTTGGTGAGTTTTCATGTTCGGATCGTAATATCAGATCAGGTGTTATATCGACGCATAAACCCTTTAGGTCTAGGCACAAAAGCTTTGGCCAGTTTGGGTACAGAACGCGTTCATGCCTAGCCCTGCGGGGTTTATTCGTCCATATAACGACTGATGTTCAGTCTATATTTCTTAATTAAATGATAAAAATGAGGATTTACAGAATACAAACACATTCCTCAATCTTTCATTGAGATTAAGATTAAATTATCAAAAAACTTTAGGATTAACAGAATACAAACTCTTTCATTGATCTCAATACGGCATCAATCTTTCAGTGAGATTAAGATTGAATTTACAGAATTTTAAGTTTCCATTGATCTCTATGTGACATAGGTCTTTCAGTGAGATTAATAAGATTAATAAGACCGCATGATGGTGAGTGTAAATGAGATAATGAGATTAGGATTAAAATTATTATTGTTTCAATTCCTTAGTGATTTTCCAAATGAGTTGGTATTATATATATTGTTTATCGACTCTTTAGATGTCATATCATGACATATTAGTCACTTAGGTAGAGCAGTTCTTCCTATTGTCGAGTTGAAGAACTGGTATCTTTATCCTGGCTAGAACCATAGACAATTCTAGCCAGGGCCAGCCTTTTATCGAGTTAGCAGCACTCTAGTAATCGCCAGTATAGGTCAGCAGTCATAGGTCAAAGACAAATCACAAGAAGTGCTGTGAATTAACTGTATGAAAAGACTCATTGACACCTCTGTATTCTCAACTCTCATCAAATAAGTTAATTGAAACATCTTGTTCATCTTTACATGTAAACACAAAATATAGATTCACAATATATCTAAACCGTGTCATGCTAAACATTTATAAATAATCCCATATTATGAAAACAAAAAAGTACCTAACAAAAACTAACATTTCAGAAAGTGGTCTGTGTTGTCTTGGGTTTATAGCTTCAGTAGCTTCTACTTAATCTTTATCAAATAAGTCAAATTAAAACATTTTAATCAAATTAGTACAAAACATGTATTCACAATGTATAATATATCTAATAAGCATAAAACAAAGACTAAAAACCCTAAACAATGATAAAAATCATTATTTTAAAAAGTGGTCCGAGTTGTCTTGGGTCCGAGTTGTCTTGGGTCCGAGATGTCTTGGGTCCGAGATGTCTTGGGTCCGAGTTGTCCAGGGTCCGACTTGTCCTGGGTCCGAGTTGTCCGGAAACCGCAGAAAGTATGTCATCAACAACATGACTGTTGAACAGAATGTCAATTATATTAGAAGCAGCAACAAGTTCTATATACTCCTAGGTAAATCAAAACAGGATACAACAAAGGACATGAAGCTTATGGATGGAAAGGACACTATATGTAACCCTGGCATATTTCGTTTTTACCGCTAGAGGGAGAAAATCAGTTGAAGATGAACCCAGACAGGGGTGACCAAAAGCTGTACCTTCCCCTAGTCAGATTAATACAATGAAAAAATTGGATGAATTCCTATCGGATGACATGACTGATTCAAGCGTTCGTTGCACACCCCATATAACTCATAATGATAGTGCGCAAGCAATTGTCTGAGGAGCAATCCTCACATTTTAAGTTGGTCATTTTGAGACTTTTTTCGAGCAGACCTGATCCACCGGCACTAACCACCTTTGGAGCACATTCCTGTAACTTTCACAGTACATCAGTATAATACTCAACAATGTACACTAGAAAGATTAGTAAGACATATGAAAAAATAAAAAAGTTACAGCATTTTTATCAGTACATATTGAGCGCCCTGTACATCCGTTACAGTGAAATGAAAAATACCAGTTTACGTTACCTTTCTGTGATGTTTCCAGTTGGAGCTGTCACTGGTGGATCAGTTTCCTTGGGTGGCTCAGTAGCTCGAGCTGCAATTACATATAAACAGATCAATTACAAACAAACCATCATTATTTCACACAGAACTTTAGGTAATAGGAAGGTTAAGCTACATGCTTCTAAGAGAAGTGTACGTGTAGAATTGTTGGGTCCTCTAAGGATAAGTCCCCCCTTTGTTGTATTCACTAGCCCATTTAAATATAAAAATAATCCTTTTTTTTGGGGGGGGGGCAGTAATCCGTAGTCAGTAAAATATTACGCGTTTACGTACCAGTTCTCTGTACCTTAAAGAGAGAATCAGATATGCTGAAGCAGGCTAAACAAAAAATTGTTTCAATTTTAGAATATTTTTGGCTCATGTCATTTCTTGTCATGACTATTTTCTAAAAATCAAAAAAGTGCATACTTTATTCAATTTTCGATTTATTCGATTTTTACGATAATGTATTATTTTTCTATAAGAATGGATACCATTCTTATTATTTGGGAGAATTTAAACATTTTTCTCCCATTTTTGCATTTTGAATCCATTATAACTTCACCAATTTATAACATATTGTGAATCTTTTGGGAGATATTGTATTTGATATTGTAAGGAATAGATTGGAAGGTCAATTATACACGTTGCTTGTAATTTTGTCACCCCCTATAGACCCGTTAACCTCTCTAATAAAAAATAGGTCGACGTTAAAAATTCTCGAAACATGCTTTGCGACTTTTAGCTCAAGCTAAGCATATGCACTTTTGATTTATGTACATGTTTACTTACGGGCAACTGGATTTAGCTGCATCCCGAGAGGGTACCCATACCCTCTGAATATGTTACTGTTACTGCTGTGACCATACAGCATTGCCAACCATTCGATATCATCGCCATCAACATGTGAGAGAAGAAACTCTTCGAAATTATCAAGCGGAATTTGGCCTGCCGTGTAACCAGTGTTGGGCACATCCCTGAACGTAGTGAGAGATGTAACGTTGATTCCATTTATCTGGAGACCATTAACGTCGCTTTGGAGAATAACGACGTTGACGTAGCTTCTGAAGTTTGCGGGTCGAACGAAAATATGATTCTGTGTATATTGCTCAACTGGTGGCACTATTGACATAAACGGATCCGAGCCAACTGAGTCGCGTTGGTTGCCCATATTGTATTGCACTACTAGACACTTTTTAGTACATGCTATCGTCTCCGTTAACCCCGAAGATGCGGTTATATCAACGAATTCACCTTCATCTAGCTCTGTAGTAAATCCTGATATCGGTAGGTTGACGTCAGTATCATCAGTCCAAGCAATCACTCTAATTATCTCCCCTCCAATTCTTTCGGCTATTGGGGGCACAATAAACTCGAATCCAAGAGCTATGACAGGCGGCAACATCTCCACAATTTGATCACCGGATATGACGTCTGTTGGTATTTGGGCGTAATCACAGCCACTAATGACAGATATCGGGCCATCGGCTACAACAAGAGTTCCGGTTAGATCAGATTGGGAACGATAGGTATACGATTGGACATCGACCACCTGAACTTCGATTGCGTTATCATAATCATAACCACCAAAGCCGTCATTTGCTGACTCATTACGGAATATTAACCACGCTGATGTTAGATTGTCCAAGCCTACTATTGTTATGTACGAGTATGATCCCGGGTAAGGGGTATAAGAGGCAACGACATACTGAGTCCCAAGGTTCGCCTCTGGTAGCACCAGGAATCCATCAGCTGAACCAACGGTAGACGAATACGCTGCCACTGTGACATTAACATCAGATTCAATCCGGATCCCTTTCTGCTCTAGGCCCTCCGTTACCCTCATACTCCCGGGTAAGTCAACCACCAATGGGGTGAGTGGATCTACCGTATAGTTATTGGTTTCTCCAGTTGCAGACAAGAAAACTGTTACTTGTCCAGAAACCTCACTCGTCACATACAACTGGTTATTTCCAGAGACAGAATTGTATTGATGCGGCAAATATGCAAATGAGAACTCAGTTCCTTTATTCGTGCGTCCAGCAGCTAGAAAAAAGTGTCAACATGCAGTTAACCTGTTAACAAGAAGAAGAGGGTCACGGAATTCACCCTCAGCATAAGTAGATATACAGCATTTCAAACTAATCACCTCATTGACCTTGCCAAAATCTTATGAGATCTAGATATCTCTACAGGCGACTGAAATATTTAAACCCCTAGTCCTCATGGATTATGATGATTTAAACCACGTATCTGTATCGAGACTGAATGAGGGCACAACCGAAATTCAAAGCATGGGACCAGGATGGATGGCCTTTGGACAAATTGACACATTTATCTAATCTTTGGTTTTAAATTTTTGTGTTTATCAGTTTATGCGAGTTGAAGAAAGGTTAAATACTCCAAAGTGTGTTTCTGGGTCGAAAATCTGATTTTTATATGGTGTCCAATGGGGAAGTGCCACACCAAATTTTGTCAAATATTGACACCTTGGGTGTCTCTTGCTCAGAAAAGGTACACTAGTGTTAGTTAACATATTGTTTTTAAGTTTGAATATCCTTTGTTGTCCATTAGAATCGAATCTCAGAAAACTATTTGAGAAAAAGTTAAACTTAATTTTTTTAAACCTCCAGGGAACATCCTTAATTCATCCACCATTAATGTGTCATTAATCCTATATATGTATATAATATAATTTATATGTACTGATGCCCTAATAGGGCCAAACGTACATCCAACAAAAAATTACAATAAAAATGTGGCTTCATAGAGTAGTGTACTGAAATTCTTATAACCATATTCTCGGATATAGTAAAAATAGGTTCAAACTTGCTCATACTTGTAACATTGAGGGTTGCGTCGGGGTCAAGTATTGCATAGAGAAGTCGAAACCCTCGGTAGCTTCTGGAGCTATCAGTCCTGAAGTTCAACCTGAAGATCGTGTCTGTAATTTCATCTGAAACAAAAATGATCGAATACATTAGCCGAGTCCCAATAGCACTGTTAAGCAGAAGAGGAACAAACACCCATCTTCATGTTAAAACCCCCGGGGGGAGGTCAATGTATATAAACCTTGACGGGGATATTCAGCGCACATAGGGTACATTTTTTGACATTTGTTATAGCAATGGACCCAAATTTTAGGATCTGGTATGAGGATGCCCCCAAAATTATGACTTTTGAGGTATGGCAATGGTTGGCATTTTCCACTTTCTGGTATGAGAATGTTCGTAGAAAATACGTTACCTCTCACTTGTGGTATGGCATTTTTGGATCGTTTTCCTCAGATTTGCCTCCTTTCCGGGGCTTTAGACATTTCCAATGCCCTTGGTCTTATATCTGGATATTTGGTGTGGCATTGGTCCTATATTTGGACATTTGGTATGGCTTTCGGGCGTTATTTTGGTTGGTATGGGAACACATTGAAATTTGACAGATTTGAATGGGAATATATTGATATCTGAGGGTTCAGCCTAGCCTACATGTAGGATCCCCACCAAAGTTTGTATACAGTGAACCCCCCCCCCCCCCGGTTAAAACCTCTCTCTTTTACAAATGATGCTCTATTTGGATAAACTATTGGATATGTTCTGTCGAATCAGAGTTGATGGATCAACTGATATGAGAAACGTTACTCATTTCAAATCTTCAATGAAAATCCTATTTACTCACAGAAATATGTTTCTCCAACACGCATCGCAGAACTTGAAGAGCGTCCATCTCCACTGTAGCATGACGGGTTTTGCGGGTCCCCAATACAAAGTGTATCATACCTACTCTCTGTTTGGAAATCATCTACGTATATGCTCATAGTATGCCCAACAGTTGTATTAAAGATGATGAAATCACAATAATGGCGACTTGGGTACCTTGATGGATAGTACGTACTACGGATTTCTCCAACACCTAACGCATCTTCATTGAAGAATTTCGGACAATCATGGGTGTCTAAAATCATGGAAAGTGCGAGATAAGTTGAAAGTTAAATGTTTTAAAGATTATCAGAAAAATGATATTTTGTCATACCATCTATAAACTTTCAAAATGCTCATATTCCAATATTTCGGAAAATTGAGTAGGCCTATCACTAATATCTTAGAACTTACTTGGCACGTATTCGCAGAAATCTCCCGTGTAGCCCGAGATGCAGTAGCATTTAAATCCATCTGGTCCGTGAGAATGACAAGTCCCTCCATTTAGGCAGGTAATCTCATCACATCTTTCTGAAAAATGTTTGAAAGTTATCAACATGAAACAAAATCAAGAGGAGCATCACCGACGATGACAGCAACAAAATAATCATAACAATAAATCAAATACAATGTAATTAAAAAACAACGATTAATACTTCAACCTGTAATATTTGGCTTGCTTGGGTCATCTTCTAGTGCTACGAAATCAAGACTGAAACCCTGAGCTGATCTGCCAGTTGGAGCATAGAATATCAGCTGTAAATAGTTCACAGCTCGATCTAAAAACAAAATGATTGCATCACGTTTAATTAATACGTGCAAGACTCATACTTTTTAAAAGACACATGTCCTTCCCGGGGTCCATTCAAGCTTTAATATATGCAAAAGTGTGACAGGGTCGTTACTAATATAACAGCTATTCTCATGATATTTCTGTAAGAAAGCTTCCAAAATTTTCATAGATTTTTAGACGAATTAAAACTCTTTACATGTAGAAATGCATTGCTCATAGTTATTTGATAGGCGCCCCCATGCCCGGTCATTGCCAGAGATCAAAACAATACAATTCACTTAATCACTATGGGTTTCTTTCTCATAACATCCACCCTTCGATATTGGTAGTACGAGATATAAATTATCAAGGCTTTCTGTATCACGTTGTCACTTGCGGTGTATGTCATACTCATCTGCGGTATATGGCATATTCCGCAAATGAGTATGACATATTCCGCTCGTGAGTATCGGCCATATTCCGATCGGGTTTTCACTGAAATCAATGTCTGTCATGTTCAGTGCGGAATATACCATACTCACATGCGGAATATGCCATATACCGCAGGTGAGTATGGCATATTCACGCGTAACATTGACTTCGTATTCATTTTCGCTCCCTGTCATTTTTATTTCATAAACAGTGGACTATATGCCTTATTGGGGTTTCTCCAACATACAAGTAAATGTATTTATTTTTATATTGAATTTTAGAAATTACAAAACATAACATTTCCGTTGGAATCATAAAAATAAGTTATAATGATAATGAATGGAATGCCAAACATATAAGTATCATACTCACAAGCATACGTTTGTCCAATCTGTAAGGCAGTTGACCGCGAGGCTCCATCACCATAAAAATCACGGTTGTTGATACGCAAAATATCTCTCCTGCTCGAATAGCTATATGTACGGAAATTGGCGACATACATGAGTACTTCGTAGGGAACGTCCGCCTTATCGAATATGATATTGTATATGCAAGACGAGTATGTGGGATAGTATTGCGGGTAGTTGGGACTATCAATTGCATTAAAGATGTCGTTTGAAGTAATGTTGCGATCGCATGATGGTCTAACTGAAAAAGAAATAATTTGCCAAGTGAATATTTTATTATATTTTTTAAGCATGCCAATTTCAAAATATCAATATCCAAAACTGATCGCCAATGGTCAATGGTCGCTATTGTTTAATTTACAGATTTCTTTAAATAAGTCTGTGAAAAAATTACCTGTTGTTGTGAGAGATTGAGAAAATGTCAGCGAAACGCATACAGCGAGAAAAATTATTATCTTAAACTCCATTTTAATGCTTTTCACTCTCATCTGATTTTCGATCGACGACAGTATACTTATATCAACACCGCATGACAAAGTTGTAGGTCAATGATGATGGTGCAATTATCTTAACCGAGGGTTGTATAAAGTTTTTTCGGTTGATAGTCATTGGATGATGTTAATAGATAATCAGAACATATGTTTTCAATTGAATGTGAGCTCTACAAGTCATTCAATATATAGTTTAGAAGTTCGAGTTGGTACTTATATGTTACTTATCTAGTATAGGCATACGCCTCATTGTTCTGGATGCATTGAAAAGATAACATACATTCTGATTGTTCTAGTTGTTTATCATGCGCAGAAAACAAAAACGAACCCATTTCTCCTACCTGCCGAGCACCTGTGTTCTGAAACTTCTGGCAACGTAATTGTGAAACAGCATTTTTGCAAATCATTGATCATATTGAGTTGAAAGCGCCCTCGTTTCAGCATTGTTCTTTTGTATATCTACAATAGTCCATGAAATAAAACGTCTAGGACTCCTAACAAAGGAGCTGGTAGCGCACTTTTGCTCAGCGATATTTGATGTAAAAACTACGTAATCAGAGAATCAGAGTATCAACATTGCCTTGTTTTTTAAATATTGGTGAAGTAAACGGTTTAAATAAATATGTGAGAGTAGAATGACATACACTAATATTATGTTTTACAAAATCTGTTCAAATACGTTTTGGGATATGGACTGTCATACTCATGTGTATTATCGTTAGAGGCCCCGTGCAAAGTTTGACTTTTTGAGACATTTGAAAAGTATGACTTCTGGAATCAGTTGATCAACTTATAGTTTTCAAATACGTGAATTTTTCACCATTATATCATCAAATACTATTACATAGTTCAGTTATCAATGGGAATTCAAGGGCTACATTTTATATGCTGTTCCCCCCTTCTCCATATATATGTTAAAAGAGGCGGAGTTAATCGGTCTCGTGTCTGCAAAGCCAGAGTATTGTATACATGAAAGAACTTCATGGAACTTTTGGTAATGTACATTTACACATATATTTTAGATCCAGACTTTGCATTTATTGATAAAGTAAATTTCTAAATTCATATAACACAGTTAATCTTTATACTTTTATCCTCTCACATGCCAAGCTACAGTTACCCAATAATACAACACTCTATACGCTGAAAAACTTCAGTCATTCAGTCGAAAACTTTATGTACAGGGTGGTCCAAATTAGTGAACCCTTGTAACAAGCTATATCTCAGTTATACCGGCATCAATGGGCTAATATTCTCACATGTTTTAGAGGAATATCCAACGTTTTTGTTGGTACCATAAAGGTCAGTCAGTCTTAAGTAGAAGTTGAATGGCATCAAGAGACATGCCTGATTTATGGGTAATATGCTCAATCCATGCTCCATGGTTCTGGATAACTGCTATATACGCGAATGTTGAAATTGTTCCCAGTCTATCCAGCGTAACTAGGGGTATATTGTATTTCTCATGCAATTTCTTTATTTTCAGGAAATAAAAGTTGTAACTAAAGTTCTTGAGCAGTGAACAGCTTCAACATTCACGTTTTTGAAGTTGCAGCAGTTATCCAGAACCGTGGAGCAAATGTTGAAGTTGTTCACTCGCTCAAAATAACTTGAGGTATAACTATATTTTCCTGACAATAGACTGATAGAGAAAAATGCTAGAAATACAAAATACCCCCAGATATGCTGAATGGAACAGTGAGCAATCTCAGCATTTACGTTGCGGCATTCAACGAATGTTGAAGTTGTTCACTGTTAAAAAACGTTGATGTAAATTACTTCTTGAAATGAAATGTTTCACATTGCGCATTTTGATAACATTTAGTAGAACTATAATTTAAGCCAAAAGGAGTCTAAACTTAATATGGGGCCTTTGAAGGAGGACTTTTATTGCTTATCCTACGAGTCTTTTTGTGGCTACAGTCAAAATAAGTTTATCTGTTGTTAGTTGCTTAAATAAAATGTTGTCGAATTCATGAATCAAAATAGTTTTTAGAAACAAAATAATTTTCGCCATTATCATCAGAGAATTAGTCTACTAAAATGTGATGACGACCAGCACTAGTAATTTCGAAGAGGAAATGGATGAATTGAAAATCTTTAGGCGTTCCTTTTTTGCATGGAGATTCATGTATCATTATGGAACACTAGATGTGCCCTTATATTGTTCATTTGTTTCCTATATAATGCATAAAAATTAGAATGAATATGTGGCATATTTCGACTCAAAAGCCGGATTCTTCATTTCATAAACTAACACCCCCAAATGCCCAACCATGCTCCATGTATCAGTGTATGGTAACCGAAATTCCTCTATCGATTTCAAGTTTTTCAAAGCCTGTCTATTTTAGATTTTTACATGTCTTTATAATAAAACAGTTGAATAAAAGTGTATTCCTTGACTGGTACCACTTTTAATTGGTCCAAAATTAATTATTTAGCCAAAAATATTTTTAAATAAAGGTGAAATGTAACTTTTTATCAATCTATCTCTAATTGCTCATCTAAGAGGAAACTGACAAAAATAGATGGAAATTTCTCATTATAAAAACATCCTATACATCGTACACGCATGCATATTAATACAAATGTATTTAATTCTCCGTTTTCGCTGTTGTTTACGCTATTCGCCTGGATCAGATACATTAATTCGAGATTATTTATAGCGGTGATTGGAAATTGTTAATAGCACTATCACATTAACAACTGATGGACTATGAGAAGCACTTCGATTTAGAGACCATACACACAACCAATTTTTCCTCAGATTTGAAGAAAAGCTGCGTATTATGTGGATTTTTAATTGATTTAAAACATTTAGACGCTTGTTCTTTTCAAAAGGAATAGACCATGTGTATCTTGATACCATGTGGAGTTTTCATCTTATTATTACGTGTAAGTATTATTTTAGTGTTGGTCTGTGTTGAAATGATGCATTTGGTCGTCTAATCACATAAAACTTTAATGAATGTGCCTATCAACCTCGTATTAGATAAAATGCATCCGTTTTAATGGACATCTGATTATTGTCTTTGACGCACAAAAATGCAAATATGTGTTCCTTGTTATGTGTTATATTGTATTGAGAATAATGATTTTTTCTTGCTGTTTTTTCATAATAAGTGATTTGCGAGCGTAGCGAAACCCTGTAGGATTATACCCAAACATCAAATTTTCTAATGTCATGTACAATGAACGACTCTTTCCCATGTTTCCTCTATCAGGTTGTTCCTGTAATCACGAAAAGAGCAGACACTGTTGAGAAGAGGTCATGCGATGAACCCGCCTCTGGGTTCCTTTGTCCTGGGCAGCAAAGCAAATGGCTCCAGCTTAGATGTGCCCCCGAATATGTTATGATTAAAACTGCGAGCTATGGTATGAGCCCAGAGGTGCTGAATGGACGAGATTTTCAGGTTTGTTTGCCTTTGTATCTGATATGGATGATATGGCTAATATCTGAATATACATATCCCATTTTCTTCCACAGGAAACACCCCTCAGCTATATAAGTAGAGTGGTATACTGGAAGGTTCTGAAAATAAGATATATTCAAAGGGAGATTCTATAGTTGCGAAGCTTGATGAAGCAAGACGAACTTAATCCAGAGACATATAAAACATGTCTCTGCTGAAAGGTGCAACAATGAGTGCAGAGGGCCATTCAACGATCCAAGTGTCAAAATATATTTAAGTTTGGTTATTTCTTTAAGACTAACATATATTTTTATTATTTCCAAAGAAACACCCTGGATGAACATTATTTCAGCTGATATTCCTTTTGAAACATGGTGAATCTTAAAAATCTATAAGTGGGACTCCCTCTATAGAAGCTTTGAACTGAATTTACACTTCTTAATGCTGAAATTGATAGTTTATCCATACATTTTAAGAAAATAGGTATGTCAAGGAAGATGTTTTAAAAGCAAAATGTTGCCCTGATACAGAAAAAGTAAAATATTTCGAATTTTCTCTCTACAGGCCTTGTTGCCCCTTTAATCTAAAGGTACGAACTTTATGTTTATGACATGTATGACCCCTGCTTATGATTCTGCGGAATACACTCTATATCCCGGTGTGAAAGAAAAAATGGTCCCCCAGGGATTATGGTCCCCTTTCTTAACGGCCCTTACTGGCCCTGATTGCGTATAAGATAATGAGGGAAAGAGTTGTATTTAGGTCACGATATAAATCAATGGAGAGTAGGACCATACTTTGACAGGACCTCCTACCCTTTTACACCGGCACTCCGTCTTCTTCTCATTTTCCACAAAAGAATAACTTTCATCATCAATTTGAATTAAGACTCGTGCACAGACACTTCTCGGCTCTTCGCGAAACGATGACATCACTTAAACCAACTAACCACGCCTCGAGAATTAAAGCAATCTCAATTTGTAACATTTTCTCAGTTTAGACTGAATATGTCACATTACCAAAATTGATTTCTTAAAATTTCCAGGAGGAGTGTCCAGATTTTGATGCAACTGCGGTAGGATCATCTGTATGTTGGTCAACCGAAGTACCTTCCACTGTTCTAAATTCATGTAAAGACAAAAAGGTTTGTCAAATCACTCCTGCGACTTTAGGAGACTCTCCATGTGAAAGTGACATTGCGTTCTTTACTGTGACGTATGCATGTTCTAATACATCATGCGGTTTTGATAATCCTCCTGGGGGAGATGGTTTACCAATCGAAAGTGATGACGATATCGGTGGCAGTATGGCCGAGGAAAATAAAAAATATGACAAGAATAGTGATGCAGATAATAAAAATAACAAGAAAGGTGGTGCCTCAAAAAAAGATGACAAAAAGGGTGGATCTAGTACAAATGATGACAAAAAGGGTGGTTCTAGTAAAAATGATGACAAAAAGGATGACTCTAGTAAATATGACAACAAAAAGGGTCGCTTTAGTAAAAATAATGACAAAAAGGGTGGTGCATCAAAAAGTGACGAAAGCAAAGAAGATTCATCAAAAGAAGAAGAGAGCAAAGACGACCCGGATAGAGATGATAACAAAAAGGGGGGTTCATCAGGAATGGATACCCAAATTGATGGAACAGACGAGGAAACGGGTACAAGTACATTAGAATCTACATCGACCTCTTTTACAACGGAATTATTTCAAAACCTCACAACAGAAGAATTCGAGGTTTCAACAATACGACAAGAGTTTATAACTTCAGCAAGTAGAAACGATGATGTTACTGCTGTTACAGAGGCGGATGCATTAAATGCAACAAAAGATGAGATCACCATTGGACAAGAAATAACTGAAAAACAGGATGAAGATACAACGATGCCATATGTACCAACTACCACCTCAGTCACAAAGCGAGATTCAGTAACACTAAATGAGCAGCTCGAGATTTCAACAGAACGACCGGAGCCTATAACTTTTAAAAATGATGGTGTAAATGTTGCAAATAAAGAAGATTTGTTTGCAATTACAACAAGACAAAATATTACTCAAGGACAAGCAGATACGACAACACCCTATTTACCCACAAAAATTATCACACAGAAAGACCAAATCAACGTGACAGAAGATGAGGAAGGTAAAAACATCACAGCAACTACATCTAACTATTTTACAACAAATCCACTGCAAAATATCACATCTGAAGAGATCGAGGTAACTACAACTACAATAAAACGACCAGAACTTAAAGGTTTCAGCAGTTTAAATGATGATGTTATTCCAAACGACCAAATCAACGTGACAGAAAATGAGGAAGGTAAAAACATCACATCAACTACATCTAACTATTTTACAACAAAACCACTGCAAAATGTTGTTCAAGAAGAAGACGCTTTGACGTACAATGGTGAAGGGTACCGCATTGATGAAAATGACATGAAGAAACTTTGGATACAAGTAGGCATTTATTTTATAAAATATGATTTCACTTCCTGGGGTCACCTCTAAAATAGAAAGAAATTACATGTTATAAATTGGATTGGTCTACATTTTTTATTCAAGAATAATAGATCACCTAGATCACTTGAATAGAAATAACAACCATTTTGTTTTGATCATGGTGTGGATAATTATGCTAGCTACATGGTGTCTGGCTATTAGGGGAAGTGAACAGAAATACCAGGTTGAAATAATGAAATTAACGAGGGTATTCAATTTCACTGAATTTAGGTCAAGGCCAAAATAATCAATTATCCGTTAAAAATAAAGAATGGTGATGTTCCGGTTGGCTGGAATGTGATTGAATTAAGGAAGAATTCTGTATCATTCTCTATTGGATTGGATACTTAAAGCATATGAGTACATCTACTAACCCGCTGGCATAGTACACGAGGATGGGGCCTGGGAGCATTATTATTAATAGGGGTTAGTTAGTACATGCATGAATGGTTTTAAATTTCCGATTAAGAATGATACTGGGTTATATATTGCAATTCAAATACACCATCACTTCCAATTATAAAAATGACATCGCCCAGTTCTTTATGAAACTACAATGCACTGCGATGACGTAACTGTTTACCAATAATGGTACAGCAGCTCGGTTCATTACCAAACCATAATGCTCAGCTGAATATATACCTTGAATTAATGCACTGAAGTATTCATATCTGATTGGCCTGGGCACACTTGCCCTCGTGCATTGTGTGTACGGGTAAGTGCTAGAGGATTCTTTATTTCTTAACTTAACAACTAAAGAGTTGTTAAGTGCAGAAATATCATACGATTAACAGATAATAAGATATGTTCGTGGAAGAATATAATATGTCTTATTTGACATATCATGTGTAACATCATAGAGACAAAGAAATAGTTGTCGTTTTTGCGTTTGATAGTCGTTAATTATTCCAGTAATTGAAAAAGAAATACTGACGCACGCTTTATATGTTTCAAGCGTTGGGAATTCTCTTTATTATGCTGAATACTTACTCTAAATGACCTACGTTTGCAAATTAAGGGTCTCGCAGCCAGATTTATTGAGGCGATGCAATGAAAAGCAATCAAAAGCCTTTTATATTACTAGTACTTGGACATGCTTTCTCATTATTCTTAAATTAAATAGCTTCGTATGGAAATTAAATAGACAAGTAAAGTGTGCATTTCAGTCTCTTATCACACCATAGGCTCCATCGAGAATTATCGCATGCCTTTGTTCAAAGGTGGGTAGGAGAACATCCAGGCTTTGATCAAGGTGCATTATCTCGCTTTGTGAAGTAAATCAAGTAATATTACAGAATTGTTTATCTCATAGTCAAAGAAATACCAAAATGTACAACTCTAAGTTGAAGTGCCTTATTGTGACATTCATATATTCTTTAATCCGAATCAGGGAGATTTTTGCCTCTCTATTGGGGTCATGTATCAGAAGGTCAAAATTCAGTTTTAAAGGTCACGAGAAGGTAAAATACATAGAGATGATTATCCCATATGAGGTTAAGGATATTGGGATTATCCCGAGGCGAATATAATACGTCTGCCCGAGGGCCGTATGGCTTTAGAAACCGACGTTCGACATGTTTATAAGAAACTGAATGTTGAACCGTTCTATCTAATACTACAAGTACTACAAGTATACTAAGAGTATAAGCTAGAACATTTTCAATACCAGAATAGTTTATTACCTTGAACGATTTTGAATTAATAGTCTCCATTCACGAATGACAAATGCTTCTCTTCGTGTATGGAGTTAATTTTGTTCAAAACATCTGTGACCATGAAATGACGTAAATCAAAGGAGAAACACAATTAAACAAGAAAATCATGTGTTTAAAAACAATTATGTAAACTAAGCACAATTAGATGCGAAATGCTATCAAGTTAATAGTTATATCTATAAAGATCATCAATCATGTGTTCCTGTTTTGAATATGGATGTCACTTCAGGACAACGTGATTCCAGGTAGTGAAAAATGACAAAGAGCAATATAACCTCGATCCAAACCCCAGTAAACCATATTGAAATATTTAGAATCAACTAAAACAATACCCCATAATGTGAAAACATTTCGAGCATAGAGTAAGCCGCAAAAGTTTAAATACATATAAATCTTAGAACACAAAATCATTCTAGAAGGTCTTGTATCAGTATTAATTGAACAACCATCGTGCATACGAGCTGAGATTACTCCAATGTGACGTACATTTCCAAAGATCAAGTTGACCCAACGGTGGAAAAAAAAACTTAGTTGTAATACTCCTATTAATGTTAAAGCTAACTGAAACAGAAACACCAACTAAGATAAAACACCTCATTTTGATACCACATACGATTTGTCCCCGGAACGAAAATATTTAAAAACAAAATATGCAGATATGTGTTCCAATATACAGATGAAATAAACTATTTCACGAATATAATTTTGATTTAAAAAGAAAATGACAAAATATATATTTACATTTTATAAACGGGCAATGAATTGTTTTTCAGGATATCGTGAAGCTGCTGTCCATCCTAACTAATGCAACAGGATCTTCGGAGCTAAAACACTTACAAGTAGGTTACATTCAATAACATGGTAAATTCTTGCACGACCCTCGTCAAATGTGTACCCGTAAACTCCCGTGACACTGCAAGCTAGTCCTAAACATATAATAAAACACTTCCATAGAAGTATGCTAATTCCTTTTTTGTGTTTACTTAAGTTTTTATTTATTCTTGTTTAAACCTTGGAATATTTGATAATTTGAACAATATAGTTAATAGGTGACGCGTAAATTACCTGATTTATAAGGATATTTTAGTATATATGCCCAGCGTATTTATTTCCCAAAGGTTTATATTTCTAAGGCTATTGACATATATATTAATCGATTGATGAACACGGTTATTGTGTCCTTGCTCAGGTTGAATTCATATTTTATCATTGAACTTTCTTATTCATAAAATAACAAATCAATATCAAAACAACTGTTCAGAAATAGTTCAAGGTCTCATGTTATCTGCTTATCATATACTTTAAAGGCCCCGTGCTTTGTCTGAAAATCATTAATTTATACTAATTTTATGACTTTAGAGTTATTCAAATTATATCTTCTGGAGTTTACTTTAAAAGAGATTATTAGCTTGAATATGAATAAGAAGGGGATTTCTATTTTGAATTCTCTGTATCAGTATACTTTGTAACACCCACCTAGGATAGTCAGATTAATCTAATTTTCCATTGTCTTAGCTTCAAACAGAATATGTAACAAAAACTTAAAAACTTATCAATCAGTTTCTTTCATAATTAGCATAGGAATATGCGGTTGCCATTGACAATGAAATTGAAACAGTTCAAGCTGTCAGTAAATATGTAAACCATTTAAAATTATTGTCACTCACTGGCAAACTGTAATCTAACAAAATATCGTGTTTTAGCATGAGAGCAGACTAGAGGCCATTGATTACATCCGGGTGATTGATAGTGTGCTTACCCGGATGAAAGAGCCATTCACATTTCAGCCAATCGCAACCAAGTCACTAGTATGGGGTAATGTATATAATTATATGTAAATTTATTAATTATACAATTGCTTTAGCTCTAGCTGGTTTTGTCTTTGGAGCTAGATTTGTTAGTTTGACTTTTGGATTTCTGATATATTTAAAAAAATACAGATGGTTGAAAGGGGGAAATTGTGAAGAATGCATATCTGTACATGCTTCATTGCTTGGATATGCTATTCTAATGAATTGTTGTTTCAATCTAGTGCTAGAATCTGTAAATTATTTATTTGGTATGTTCAATTACTCCTGCTGGTAAGAATACCCTGTAAAATCAAGTTTATACCGGATTAATCCCGAGGCTTTTTGTGAAAGTAAAAACTATTACAGTATCCAAGGTGATTTGGGTTTTCCTGAAATTTGTCATGTAGTATTTACACCATTTATCATCCATAGAATAATCTCTGTTTCTCAGTTCAAGATGCACAATCCATTTTACACAATATAAGATTTGATTAATTAATAAGCCGCTATAAAAATAATCAAAATGTGCTAATCTAGTCTTAATATGCCTTACTGTAACAGTAATCCCAGAGCGAATTAATAAAGCATGGTCAGGTTCTAATAATCAGATTGTAGCGTTTCAAACCGAGACCTACACAGGATCTGTAATTAATTTTCCTTGGCAGTTGATATGACAAAGAATGATGCATTTATTTTTCGTTATGCAGCGTTTTTTGGTTAATAGATGTGATGATTTGATTAACAACCTTAGGAGAAGTAATTTCGTGACGTGTGATTTGGCGTTTGAGTTTATCGACGCATTTGTAGCTAGCGTGTTTCAGTTATTCAAACGTTGGTCTTGGCACTTTAGTATGTTCATTTTTAGGCCACGTACTGTCGTGGCCTGCCCCCCTTAGGCGAGTCCAAAAAATTGTTGAGGCCCAAAAGATTTACGGGGCTAAAATCAGATTCCCCACATAGATTTGGCAATTTAGGTAATGGACTAGCATCACTGTAAATTGGGCTCAAATGCTCAGATTTCGGGCCCAAAATTTCAAAATTTGGGTTTACAGTTTTGCTCCCCTCCTCTTAATTTTCAGATCCATCCGTGATATGTGCCTTGTACAAGCTATGTAAATAATTGTGTTGATTATTATGCAAATAAAAAACATTCTCCTAATGATGTACGTACAATCAATTCTCTCTGTCATAATATAATGTAATTTACAATTTTGTTTTGGTTGTAAAATGCCAAACCGAATCCATTTTTTCAAATAATTTCGACCTTATATCCCCATGAAAAATTATATTCAGTTTAATCCTGAAATTTAAACTGAATTGAATGTTAATGTACACATCTGTTTCAGAGCTTAAGATACAGACAATCATCGAACACAGTAAAGTGACTGGTGCAATTCTATTTCCCGAAAGCTCCAACGCGACATCACACATATCCCTACCATTTCAAGTTTTCAAAGGGCAAAGTAAGTGCTGTGATTTTATTCCTTACACACTCCCTGATCATCCATTTTATAGTTACTTCAAAAGAAATACACTAATACAGGCAGTATTATTTGAAAAATTACACCATACATGAAATTCACTCATCAGTAGCAATTAAAGCAGTACTTAAACCGTTTCAAGTGTAAAAGCCTCAAATTAGTTCGTTTATTTTTGTATTCATAAAAATATCTTCTGAGACTTGCAAAGTATTAAATGTCACTCAAAATTGAAACTTCTGGTTGGGTTTGGAGACCAAATGTCGCAAGTTGCAAGTTGCCCGTTTATAACCGACTAAAAGCCGCGATTACCTTGATTTTCCTCGAAGTACTTCTTCAGAAACAAAAACTCCGCCTTTTGCCCATTTACGGAGAATACACTTGGTGATTGATGCTATATAGTTTTCTGTCGAATTTCGTTCGGATTTCGAAGTGGGTTCTACTCAGTGTTCTTATTATCTCGATTACTCACCTAAAATAACATTTAAGAAGGGCAAGTTGTTTGTAGAATGATTCGGGGGAGTTTTCCTTATGTTTTTCATTAAAAACCATCAATACACTTTAAAACATTTTATTGACTTATAAGATTGCACAATATAATCCCAAAAAGTTCTCATTTCAAGGATTATCTATGGATTAACACCCCGGTATTTTCATTTTCAAACCTCACATTGATCCTATTCGCTTTTGAATAATATAAATGCTGTTTTAATATCTCTTTGAGGAATTTCCAATAGAAATCCAATGGTACAGTTCCTAGCAGATTTTTCAAAAAAATATCAAAAATGGGCCTTCATTATTCAAAATTTCGGCCCAATTTTTGGGTTTTGGGGCCCAAATTTGGGGCGGAATTTCTTCCAGACTGAAAATTTGGCCCAAAAAATAAACCACAGCATTAACATGCAAAATGTCACGACCTGCCATTTGTTACAGACCCCGACCGCCAAACGCCGAACACCGTCCACAAAAAAAAGTTCGAGAAAATAACAATACGTCACCATTTTTGACAGTGACATAAAGCGAAATTAATTCATGATCATTTTTTGGCAGATGTCTCCTCTGTTGTATCCATATTATACAGAAACATGACTGAAGTGTTGGGACCTATCGAACAGAGGAATGGTCACAACAATGTTATTGGAGATGATATTGTTTCTACTGTGATTCTTCCTAAACCAAAAGTACCGTTGCTTGAACCCATTCAACTGCAATTTAAGCATCTGTCAGTGAGAAAGGTGAAATTTAAATTTCGTTAAGACGTTGATATTTTAGTAAAATAGAATTATAACGGTATTTTAATGCTTTGCCGACCATTTCCTAAAAATGTCATATTGTAATATTTCCTTTATTTCAATACAGAATTGTTATCATAATGACAACAATTACGCTGTCTGTACATATATATTTGTAGAACAGTGGTACCAACAGATATCTCCACAGAAAATGTGTATTCTTAGACACTACTGCCAGGTATGTAGCTATGCATTTGTGTAAATTATTACTTAACGATGTTATTGAAAATTATTTGAAATAAATTCACAATTTTGGCACAAAAAGTCTTTCAACATCAACTTTTTAAAATCAAATTGAAAATATTCACACAGTACATTTTGATACCATTTGGTAGGACATTAATATAAGCCAAAGTGTAAACTTTAAATGATGCCTTTAAGATAAATGCACTTTTACCAACTTTGTCAGTATTTGTCACCTAAAATAATATTATTACCATGCAACACAGAACGTATATTGTGGTAAATACAAGATCGAAAATGTAAGAAACGTCTATTACTTATTGATCACCCCTCGTACAATGTTGTGATTTCTTTACAATTTTCAGCTCAAAGGGTCTTACCGTTTGGTCGGAGGAAGGATGTAACGTGACATATACAGACGATAACGTAACAAGATGTTCGTGCAATCATCTAACAAACTTCGCTGTCCTGGTTAGGTTTACCGATACTGAGGTAATGATAACAATTTACAAGGCCATCCACCTGAAAAACAACAAGTAAAAGTTTTGTAAAAGATTAGGCATTGGGAGTACATTTTTGTAACCTTGATCATCTATATGAAGAAAGTCCCTGACATACACAATGTTTTCAATATAAAAACTTATGTTTCAAACAAGCAAAACGTCTAGCATATTTAGAATGAAAAACCTATGTGTCAAACAAGAACAGTAATAGTTTAAGATTCACACAGATGTTACATTAATTTACATTTCTATTTTTGATTTAAAAAATGTTTGAAGTCAAAATGTCCTTGGATAAAAAGTTCTTCTGTTTATTAGATATCCGTTGAGCACGAAACTATCTTGGGTGTTATTTCACTACTGGGTGTCTCGATATCTCTGCTGGGAGAACTAATTACATTATTTGCCATACTGACAGTGAGGACAAACAACAACAATTACGGGTGGGTGTGACTATTCACTACTACATTTATGGTCATACGGACATTATGTCAGGAGCTTTTACCCTTTGTTTAATTTATAGCTAGAAGCCCATGTGACCCGTCCCACTACTTGACTACACAGGTGTGAAAAACTTCTGGAGAGGCTTGTAGTTGGGGGACGCAAAGACTTGTACATGTAGCTAGACTAGGCCTATTCTATTCATTTTAGAAGTTATTTTGAAAGAGCAGATGGTAACAAGTACTAAAACAGGAAAGGGGGAAAATATAATGTAGAAATTCTAATTTAATTTGTACAACTTCCAGAGATATGAGGAAGCATCGTATGATCTATCATCTGATAGAACATTGAATGATTCATCTCTGGTAAAAAATCAGAGTTTGGTCAAAAAAGCATCCGTTACTTATTGATCATCCTCGTATATGTTTTAGAGCTGGGTTTGACATAGAAAAGAAAACAATTCGTGTGAACTTGTTGGTCACTATGGCAGCTACACATGTTGTGTTTCTCATTGGGGCGGCTGTGGACATTATATCAAATATGGTTAGTTCATCAAGTAAAGTATTTATTGATTTGCATTTTTTTTAATTTGCCTTCATTATAACAAACGAATCATGCAGACATACTTCATTCTTTTTGGGACTATTTGAAATATACTTTGTTTTGGATAATGAATTAATATTTCAGTTTTTCATATTACAATATTCTGTTTTTAGGAGCTGAAAATAAATGAAAAACACCGTGCTGTTTTTTTACTGTTCCGTTTGTGCTTTCCAGATATTATGCAAAGTGATGGCTATCGTTTTGCACTATTTTCTTTTACTGTCCTTTATGTGGATGTTGGCGGAAGGATACTATCTTTACAGAAATATAGTCCGAGCTTACAATGAAAAGATGGACTTAAAAATCTTGATTGCTTTATTTTATGGTTAGTAGTTTAATTATAGGTTGTATACATGCATGAAGAGCAACATTTGAAATATAAAACAGCACAGTAACATTTATAAAGTGCTAAAATATTTGAAAATTGTAAAAACCCATTTTATTCTATGTCTTAATTAGAATTACAGGTTGAGACCCTCATGCTAAGTACATGTACCAGTGTTTGTTACTTTTTGTTTAATTTTAGGTTTCCCAGGTCTCTATATAGCGGTGTCAGCCTCAGTGGGATATGATTATTATGGCACTTTGGATGGGTATTATTAATTAAATAATATTAACAAAATGAAATGATTGTAATGCCACAAAATGGTGAAAAAAGTGAACACAAACACATTTGTCTTAATTGATTTGATACACTAGTAGATATGTTAACGATTGAAAAATATTTAGATTTTCTTAGAATTTATAGAAAGCCCTCGTATTCATTAATCAGTTGTGAAGCCTCGATTTTATTTTAAATTTGTTAATGTTTCATACGTTCACTCACAGGTGCTGGTTATCGCTGACAACAAATTTTCGCTGGGTACTTATTACACCATTGCTGCTGATTATTTTGGTAAGTTTTAGGTACCTCCAAATTCAAAACCGTTAGCACTAGCCTAATTTGATCAGCTAGTTCATACTGGCAAAAATTCGAAATATAACAGGGCTCAGCCCGGGCCTTACTATAATACTGAAATAACTAAGTTTTTGAAAAAAACATGTTATAGGAAAGAAAACCATGTAATTGACATGCTTTCCTGCTAATGACGTTTATCATTGTATTATGATTTTTCAAGATATTATAAAGGATTTAATTAGTTATACAGAAATTATGGTAGTTTCATATTTTTTCCCTGTACTGTCAATGTTTAATCGAGTCGTTATGGTGGCCATTTTGGAAGTTTTTAAACTATTTTAGTACCCTCAACATCAGCCACAAGATGTAAAATCAAGTCTATGGAGTGATCAAGCAATACCAATGGAGAATACTATATTTGGATTTACTATAGTCCTTTATCAAGGATCCTAATTTACTACTCCTATATGTTTCAGATAAATACTGTGATATTGGGGATGGTTATTAGAGTAATACATACATTGAGCCATGTAGATTATGAAGATAAAATAACAAAGGCAAAGTAAGTTTGTTCATCTAAGACAAACAGGTTTCATTAAACAAAAGTCTGGGATGATAAAAATAATTTATTTACAAACTTGTTAGTTTATCATTTTATACACAGGGTCTCCTCATTTTTATAATCCCATATAGTACAGGCTAGGGACATTCCAGTGAGGCCTCTTTCTATGACATACCCCCGCACCCGGTATAACAAGACGTATGTGGTACCATTTTGTTCGGTATGATGTGAAGTTTTCAGAAACCAATTTTGACATTTTCAAATATGGGTCAGATTCCAGATAATTAGCGTAATGTTACATAATTTATTGTTTTCTATGTTTTTATATTTTCAAGGTTTAAAACAGCTATGGTTAGGTTTTTATCAAAGTATAACAACAGATAATGGTGGTAATGCTTTCAGAAAAAATTGATGACAAAATTTTAAGAAATTTAAAATCAATATTAATCATTATTATGTAATTATTATGTAATAATGTTAAAAAATTTGAAATTAGACGTTGCAAGAAACGCTTTAATGCAATAAACTGGTTAAACTTCACCAAATACAAAAAAATGAATAAAAGGATGTGATAGCACAATTTTATTTTATTTTATTTCCACAATTAATATGAGGATATAATATTATGTAACATATAGAGACTTATAGATTTTCAGTATCTGTTTGCCATACAGTAATCGTTTTATCAGAGTCACTATGCAGAACTTATGGCCATCCAGATAGGATGGTCTTGCTGAATGCATTCAACAAAAGGTTATGTGTAGCTAGTTTATTTAATACTTTGTTATCCCACCAAACGAAGGGAGGGATATAGAAAAGCCACCCGTCTGTCCGTAAGTATGTTTGGGTGATTACATAAATACCGATTGACATATTTGATTCAAATTTTATAGGCTTATGCCTTATGGATGTATGACCTCTGCTGGAGAAGGAATTATCAATATGACTGCTCATATGGCCACCATTTGTGTAAAAATACAAAAAATCTCAGTGGTATTGAGAAACCTGCCGATGATGGAAATATTGGTTTTATTAGTGGATGCTGCAATCCATAACTTTGATCAAATCAAAGACACTATTGATGGGAAGGGATCAACACATCCTATGGCCATGGTCTTGTATAAACGATCAGAAAATAATAATGATAACAAGGAGCAGAACAGAAAAAACAAGACTTCTCTGGAAGACACAGATATATGTAACTATGAAAACCAAAGGTTGATGAGTTAAACCAAAAGTGATACCAAAACCGAATCCCATTTCATCAAAAGAAAATATAGAAATGATGACAAAGTCCAGTTCATACCACAGTACAATCAAATCTGACCTGATGTGGAGACTTGTGAGGCATATGAGACAATCAGAAGGCCGAAAGAAGGCCATTTACAGGATGGTAAAAAAAACTTACACCATTTTTCTCATATCTTTGTCATTTTAAGAACTGATATTTTACACATTTGTACATAATTCAATTTCCTACCAGCCCACTATATTTCATGACCATCAGATTGATAGTCACAATGTTACAGCACTTTAAAGAACATGCCCCAGTGGCCACTATTGTGCTGTCAGCAAACCTGCACATGTAGTCCAAAATGTCTCTACTTGTGGGGAAACGGCAACGATAAAGTGTATGAGAATGACCTCAGGACAATTGCAGACCTCAAAAGTAAGATCATTAGTGTCATTCAGGCCATATCTGCTGAAGAATGTATTTGGATCTTTGACAACTGTGCAGGATTGACAACAGCGTGATAATGCCCAAACCTGAAGCATGTTGTTTAAAGTGCTGTTGTATGATAGTGAATGATGTACAAATGTGTGAAATATGAGAGAGTAATATTTTAAAATGACAAAGATATGAGGAAAATGCAAGGTTTCCATTTTTTGACCACCCTGTACAACAAAGCACAAAAGAACCATCTCGTGTATAGAATATGACAATGAGTTGGAAATGTGCACTTGACAGCAACCCTAGCCTTATTTCCAGGATTGTTTTTGTTTTTTGTTTTTTAAGTTATTCATTTGTACAAAGAATACAATACAAAAATACAATGTGAGTGGCTGTGCTTTTAGCATTATTAGCCACGTCCAGGATTGTTAAACTGTATAGTGAATCGAGATGGCAAGTGAAGCATGCTGATGTTTAAGTCTGCAGAAGATTTTTGTTAAAATCTGTAAGAAAACCAGGTCTATCAGGGAGGTGGTAAAGTCACATTGTCACATCGCCAGCGACTATGCAGAATCTGTTAGAAATCTGTACATTCAACACAAAAATCTCATGAAGAATGCCAACCAAAGCGAGTCGAAAAGGATGAAGATGATGTGCGCAAGATATGTAGTCTTGTAGGTCCAAATTATAGATGGTGTCTTAGAAATGGTAAAATAAGGCAAATCTTGCTAATTTGAAAAAAGTGATGAATCAATCATCTTAGCTGGACGTTTTCAAAAAAGGGTGAAGGCTAATGACCATAACAACAACTGGCTCTTACAGTGCAGAGTAAGAGAGTATACATGGAAGCATGTCTTGATGAGGCAGATACTCTAATGATTTACCATGCAATACAAAGGTCAAAGACAGCTAAGTAAGAATAAGAGAAATAGTTCGATGCAGCGATGCTGATGCGTTGGTCATGTTTTTGTACTACTACCACACAGTTCTTTATATCGTCACATGAGATATTCATGCACGGTGGCCATGGGTCAAAGCAGCGCATCATCAATTCACAGAATATAAGAAAACTTGGGGAAAAGTTTTGCAAATCATTATCAGCAGCTCACACCCTTATAGGATGTGACACTACCTGTTCATTTGCTAAAATTGGGGATATATTACACAAAATTAATCAAGAACATTGATCACCTCAGCAATTTATGCAAGCTTGGATCAGATGAGCATCTACAATGGGAGAGCCATATAGATGACGATGACATTGGATGACCTATGCTTTATTTTGGCATCCACAACTGACAAGCCTGCATCTGCAATGCTACTAACAAAAGATGCTTTAAACAACATCTTCTACCAGCACATCTCCAATGTCAAATCTGGACAAAGTGCTCACACAGCAAAGCCCAAACTTTGGAAACCAGAAGGCAACGAATGCTACTTTATTGATGGAAGTCTGGTTCCTAAGATGATTTTGAGAGCATCCGGCCCCATTGAATTAAGGCATCTTACCCAAATCTATTGTAAAGATGGATTTCGCACTAATCTGAATCAGGCTTGTAGATGCCTACTTGCAGGATTGTTGCGCATGTCTATCTGTTCCCGCGAGGTGGGTATTTGCCAAAACACAATAATGGTTGAGGAAAAACCATATCCAGATGTTTAGAATAAAGATGTTTGAAATAATCATATCATCATATTATATAATGATTCTATTGAAAGATGTAAGCCCTTATATGTAAAAATTGATATTTATCATGTTTAAAATGATCATAACAGTTACCTGATTTTTATATGCATGAATATTTGGATAAGTATATCTGATTATAAATATTTAATGATATTATCATTGTGTCTTAATCGTTGTTCAAGTACTGTTATTTGCTGCTACATATGCATGGCATATATTGTTTACAATGAGATTAAGTCTTTTTTATAAAGGTTTGTACTCATAATAAGATATTATTGCTTGAATTGGTTAAGCACATGACGTTTATATCATTTAGAACAAAAATTCTGTTATCTTAAAAACGAAAACAATTCAAATTGTAATTTTACTCATAAAACAATGGAAATTATGTAATAATTACATAATTCTAAGTCCAAAGTATTTTTGATAATTATCAAAATTTATTTTAAAGTATATACACAATTAATATTTGTTTAGCTCATGATTTCTTTTCATCATTTCCTTTAAAAATGCTTTACAAAAAATGCTATGTCATAATAATAGATTACATAACATTATGTCATATTTATCGAATCTGACCCATATTTCAATCTGTCAAAATTGGTTTTTGTAATGTACTCAACTAGACGAACAATTTGATACCTATGACGACTTGTTATACTGGGTGCGGGGGTCAAGTTGATATTTGGCTCATAGGTAGCCTGCACTAATAGTGATGAAACATATGGGAAATGCCAAAAATGGTAAAAACAATTTAAAAAAGAGTAGGACCTGTGATAAGCAAATAAAACCCCAACATCCAACACTATGAGCAATACATGGCATACGTCATAAACATAAATCAAATCAAGATATGTACAGGACGATCCAGAAGTAACGTCAAAGATGTTGCCATATCAATATTTTTGGACCAATCTTCTTGAAACTTGGTACAGACGTTTTCCAAACATTATTGAATTAAAACCTCAATATTAAAGCTTCTGATTTGTCAATATCATGATTACTAATACTATGTTGACCCGATGTGGTATCACTCGGGGCAAATTATTTGTTTTAGCAGAAAATGCAATGCAAAATTTAAAAAGACTATACCGCTTAACGTTTATATCAAAAACTTCCAGAGCCAGTATTAAAGCTGTTGTTGTTTTATTCCCAATTCTTGGGTTGTCGTGGCTGCTCGCGGGACTGACCATCATACAAAGAGGTTACATTGTGTACCAGTATCTCTTTGCAATATGCAATTCTTTCCAGGTAGGCCAAGAAATATATATAGATCTGTTCATGCTAATTTGAATGATAATCATGTATGACGATTTCGTCATTTGTCAGCCATACCCCTTTGTTTAGCCCATTTCTTATTTTTTTCATACATGCTCCAGGCCCGTAGCCAGGATTTGCCAAAAGGGGGGGGGGGGTCATTTTTCAAAAATTTCCAGGGGGGGTTCACATTTGACAATTTTGGCCAAAATATGGCTAAAACCACTTGAGAAGTGCTCGAAATGGTGAAAAACTGCATGATTTTGAAAGAATTTTTGGCCAGGGGGGGGGGTTCACCTGAACCATGCGAACTCCCCTGGCTACGGGCCTGTACTCCTTTGTTTAGCCACTTACCTATCCTCTCGCAATCTAGTCATTTCTTAACTAGTGCTTCCATTTCTACAGGGGCTGTTCATTTTCGTCTTTCACTGTCTTCTCAACACAGAGGTCCGTACCTCACTGATCAGCAAGCTATCACAATGGCGGGATGAGTGTTCCTGCTTAAGTTGTCCCAGCAGCTGTATATCTTGCCCTGATCTTGTATGCTTCACACACAAAAGCAGACTAAAGAAGGTCACTGTTAGCATCAAGCGCAAGAGACATGGCAGCTTATCATCAGAGATGTATGTCATTAGAAAGGTAAATAGTAACGTTAAAAATGAAACATTTACTTCATTTTGTTAGGTAACCATGCTATGTAACTGCATAAATTACATCTTTAAAAAGACAATAATGACGAGGCTAATAAAAACTGGTTGCATTTTAAGGTTGTATATTTAACACTGGTTGTCAGGTTGTTAATACCGTTTACTATCTAATGATTCACGTACTGTTTGACATCATTCCCGAGATACAAATTAGATAATTTTAATCTCACCGCTATGTCCAGGTGCCGGTTGACAAGACACTAGCTGAGCCAGAGGATGAACAACTTCCCAATAGTATCAGTAATTCATCTGAGAACCTCACCACCAGAGCCTCAAGTCCTTCAATTAACAGGTATCTAGTCTTTTAATGAATTGTGCTCAGTACCAGAGTTTCTCTCAACTGAACTCAAAATGATACTTTTCAGTTGATCAAACCCATTATTGTCTTCAAGTTGGTTGTATTGGTAGAACGAAGTCATTTAGTTTTTTCATCTATAGATATTCCATCACTTTTCAAAATGGCAGTTGGATTTAGGAGGGGATTCTCCTTGGCCTTATGACTGGTGCATGCCGAGACCGGTGTAAAAGAAATGATGGTCCCCCAGGGATTATGGTCCCCTTTCTTAACGGCCCTTACTGGCCCTGATTGTGTATAAGATAAGAGGGAAAGAGTTGTATTAAGGTCTGCACCATATAAATCAATGGAGAGTAGGACCATAATTTGATAGGACCTCCTACCCTTTTACACCTGATGTACCACTAAATAGAGGAATTTGACGTTAGAAATAAATTAAATATTACATGCAAATATTGCTATTAAAAACGTTTTCATCGTTCTGCCGACAAACCAAGACGATACTGGGTTTGATCAACTGAAAAGCATCATTTAGAGTTCAAAAATGGATTGAGGTATGTCATTTAGGTGTATAGAACGGGGATAAAACTGGTTAAAGGTAATAATATAGCAACATTGATCCAATGATCCCACGACTGGTAAGTTGTGGATCTCGATAATCCGAATAAAGTAAGCAGTAACGCGCTGGTACTTGATGATTAAGATACGTAATATAACGCAAATTCAAATTCCTTGTGTTGTACCTTACCGTCATCGCGCGTTAAACCAACCGTATACTACATTCGGAGTTTGTGGAGGTAAGGTTTAACTATGAAATTTACTGTCAAAATCAATGTCTAGGATGTTGTTACAGACATTTACATATAGAAATATATTTGCTCACATTTCATCGCCCTCATGTTGTACCGTACCCCGCGCGTTCAACTGTCACGCTTAATTTGGTATGTATCTGTGTTTATGAACGAAGCCTTAGATATTTCATGGCATTTATACTATTCATGGGTACTAACAGACTAATGCAACGTCCAAAATCCTGATTTGGTTGGAAAGCAATACACCAACTTTAATTTTTACTTTGGCCGCACACAAATACACCTAACTTTTACTTAATGTAGGAAGACAGGTTAACCATTTGAAATGATTTGTGCAACTCTGTTTTCCAGTAAGGATACATCTATTTGGAACACAACTAAGCGCTGGATGCTTCCAAAGGCTGACATCTATAAGAAACCAGATAGTGCAACGTCACAGCGTTCTCAAAGCAGCAACAATGGTTACCAAAGCAACACAACAAACACTTCCTTACATTAAAAAAATCATATTTGGACACAAAATGTATACATGGACAGATGGACATCTAACGTAGGCTGCTGTAGTATACTGTATACAATAAATCTACGATGAGGTTTTTACTAATCTTGAAACCCTTTACAGAATTGTTATTGTGTTTCACAATTGAATGACGCATATACGCAGGAAATTAGTGGTAGTGATGACAGAGTTATCAAACGGATTTCTGCTAGTAAATTTAAATGGGACCCAACACAAACTAAAAATTTCGCAGATGCATTAACAAGTCAAACTAATATTGGGTTAATTAACCAAATTACGAAAGATCTTGAAAATTTACATAATTTAAACATAGATTCTATAAATACTCAAGTTGAAAGTATATTTATAAATGCAGCCAAACTTACACTGAAAAAGAAAAAGATGTCAGGTAAGAGGAAACAAATAAAATCAAATAAATGGTATGACAATGACTGTGTTAAATTAAGAAAGAAAGTTAAATCCCTTGGTCAGATACTGACGAAAAATCCCAATGATAGCTGTGTTAGACACAATTATTTCAAATATTTAAAGCATTATAGAAAGTGTTGTAAAGGTAAACAGAAAGAATATAAAAAAGAACTGCTAAATAGGTTAGAAAATCTGTATGAAACAGACCCTAAAGAATATTGGGAATTATTGGACAAAATTAGAAATAATGAAAAGGGTAGTGACGGAAATGATATATCACCTCGGGGCTGGTATGATCACTATTCCAAGCTTTTTACAGATAAATCAAATGACACGACTATGGATGTGAAAATAAAGGCTTTGGAAAATGATAAAACATTTGATAATTTAGATTATAAAATAACGGATGAAGAGCTTTGGCAAGCAGTGAAAGGCCTGAAAAATAAAAAGGCGACTGGCCATAATGGTGTCAGTTATGAAATGATAAAAACATCATACCCTGTGATAGGGAATATTATTTTAAAGATGTTTAATACTATGTTTTCAAATACACTCTTCCCAAAAGAGTGGAATGTATCATCAATAATAACTGTTTTCAAGAAGGGTAATTCAAGTGATCCTGGAAATTATCGTGGACTATTTATATCAGACTGCTTGTCAAAATTGTTCTCCATAATAATGAATAATAGTTTATATAACTATGTTCAAGAAAATCAAATGTTACAGGAAAACCAAATTGGCTTCAAGAAAAAGTCACGAACCACAGACCATATGTTTATTATTCGTACGCTAATTGACAGATTTATACACTTTGAGAAAAAGAAAATGTATATTTGCTTTGTAGATCTAAGAAAAGCATTTGACACGATATGGCATAAGGGACTGTATCTCAAACTTCTCCAAGCAGGAATTCGAGGTCATTTTTATCACATGGTAAAACACATGTATACTAATTCAATGGCATCAGTTAGAATTAACAGTAACGGTGACCATACTGATATCTTTAAATGTGAGAGGGGGGTTAAACAGGGGGACCCACTCAGTCCATTAATGTTTAATATTTACATCAATGATGTTGTTGAAGAATTATCACTTGAATCAGACTTAAAATTACAAAAACAAAAAATAAGTTGCCTGCTATTTGCAGATGATTTAGCCATAATTACTGCAAATAAAACTGATATGGACATAAAATTGAAAAAATTAAACAATTATTGTAAACAATGGAACTTAGATATCAATACTGATAAAACTAAAATTGTAATGTTTAATAAAAGTGGTAAACGATGTAATGATATATTCTACATTGGGGACCAGGTAATTGAAAACGTATCAAAGTATACTTATTTGGGTATGGAATTCCATGCCAACGGATCGATGAAACAAGCTGCAATCTTTATTAAAGAAAAAGCAGAAAAGGCGAAATTCAAATTGATAAGTATGCTTACACATGGTGATATTAACCTAACTTTGTGCCTGAAATTATTTGACATATTAGTAAAACCAATTTTATTATATGGATGTGAAATCTGGGGTGCTGGTCTAATAACTAATAAAGATCTTCTGAAAAATAAAGATTTTGGCCTTGAAATGAAATATGACAAGTCACTTCCACCGGAATTACTACATCTATCTTTTTTGAAGTTTCTATTAGGGGTGCATAGAAAAACGAGTAATTTAGCTACGATGGGTGAGTTAGGTAGATTCCCTCTGTTTATCAATATATTTTACCAACAAGTTAAATACTTAGATCATATAGAAAATGAAGGAACGAGTTCATTACTAATTAATGCATATGCAGATAGTATTGAACTATCAAAAGTTGATAATCAACCATCATGGTACTATGACATTGATAAAATAATGGCATATGTTCAACCACAAGATAAAAATTACATTAAAAGTAAACCGCTTGATATTAAGAAAATCCTTGAAAAAAGATATATAAAATATTGGGAAAAAACTGTCAATGATAATAAAGGGAAATTAGAATTTTTGAATAATATCAAACAACGATGGGGAAAAGAACCATATTTGAATTTAATAAAGAACGCCGAACATAGGAAATCTATGACGCGATTAAGAATAAGTGCACACAATTTAGAAATAGAGCGAGGAAGACCAATAGTTCCGAGAGATCAAAGAAAATGCAAATTATGTAAAATCACCACTGGTACGGAAACTCATTTTATTTTTGAGTGCCAAAAATTGGAAAAAATGAGATATGAATACTTTGATACGTTTAACTCGATTTGCCCAAATCTAACTGTATTGACTACCGAAGAAAAGGCTAATTATATGTTTAATGCTGAGGGTAACATGTGTATCACCTTTGCAAAATACCTTTATGAAATAATTGAAAAGAGATCAACAACTATATTATCAATATAAATATATACATGTAGGTGTAGGCTAATAGTAGTTGTTGGTATATATCTAATGATCAGTCAATCACATTATATTGGCATTATATGCCATGTAAAATTTGCATTGTATGTTATTGTAATTGTATGTATAGTTTTAGTTTTATTTTATCATGTTTATTTGCTGTACACTCACCCGAAAGGGATTTTTAGTACAATAAAGCATTGAATAATATAAAAAATATTACAGTGTTACAAATAATATTGTTTGAAAATACAATAGAATTTCATAAATGCAGAATATGAAATATTGAACAAATATTTCACTCTATTGAGGTGAATACCTGTACATCTTTCACAAGTGATATTCCACGAAGCCCGAAGGGCAAGTGGAATATCACCTTGTGAAAGTGCTACAGGTATTCACCGAAAATAGAGTGAAATATTTGTTTTATTATATCACTGTCTAGCTAAACATCCCTAATATTATTAAGTCATAGGTTAACATTGATATAAATATATTTCTACTCGGTTCGTATGCCATTTTGACTTACACTGAACTAAATTATTTACACTGAACGAAAATAAAGTCTTTGAAAACTCCCGGGAGCGTGGGATATCGCTAGATATCTCACGGTTGTCTTATCTGATTAGCATTGCCATTGAATATCGCCAGATATCCCACGACATGTGACCCGGTTTTGACCAATCCAACTGTCGCTAGCTAGATAGTGATATAATAATTGTACATATTTTTCCATTTTTAAACATTTGACAGAATAATTTTATAAACATGTCGAAATGCGTAGTTCTAAACTGTTTTTCTAGTATTTTCGTCATAAAACAAGCATATAGTCAAAACATAGAGTCAATGGTCAAAACAATAGATTAACCAACAATGACTCGAACCCACGACTGAACTCGCATGTCAGACTAGGATCCTATCGCCAGTGCCCCTGCGTTCTATTTACCAACTACGCTATATAAACAACACAACCTTAAGGCCAGGGTGCATGTTCGGAAAGGATAGGTATCGATATGGTGAACCGAATTCAACAATGTTTTTCTCTTAAACCAATTATTGAAAACATTCTGTAAAAAAACACGGTCCTTTATGTAATGTTGACTGAGTGACAACAATTTAATGCAAAAATTATTGATACATATTTTATATACACTCCCCTCCATAAGTTTGGCAACCTTTTTTCTCCATTAAACTACGTGTTAAAGCCTCTTTACGTTTAAATTTTTATTTACTTAACCGGCGATGAAATAACTTATAATATTAATGGAAACGTAACTTGACTTTATTTCCAATACCTCCAAATTTTCTCACTTTTTTCCTCAATTACAATAGGTCGAAAATTGATGATAAAGATGAATTTTTGAAAATCGTCATTCACATGTAATCCAATGGGAAATGGAGGGTTCGGGGCAAATCAGAAATCAGGATATCTTTTCAATAAAAGATTCACCAAAAAATATTTTTATATAGAGAATTGAATTGTCTAACTTTTTTGAACACTAAGTGTTTAGTTTATTTGATGAATAATAAAGTTACAGCGCTTCAAAGTCATTTTTGAAAAGATTTTTTCGCCTCCTGTGTTATTTCAATGGGAGAGGTTTTTTGAAAAACAATTTTGACTTTAAAGCCCTATAACCTTGTTGAACCTGAAGAAACATATCAATTTTTCGTAAAATAAAGTTAGCAAATTCAATTACCTGCCTAACTCGTATTTTTGCAAGGACTCGGATGGATGGCTATTGTTGGAACAAAATAGCACATACAACATTTTCTTAGACCTCTCAATATTATAGTTATACAAAGGAAATGTTGGTTGATTTAAAAAAAAAAGTATGCAAAAACTTAGAGCAACCCCCCAAAATAGATAAAAATCAGATAAACCTTTTACTAGTATTTCATTAACAAGATACGGATTTTTCGGGACATCTACTAAATTCGCGGGATTTCGCGGGACATTTAAGGGATTTGCGTGATTGTGCTAATAGGCCTATTTTTTTATCAAATTCGCGGGATTTCGCGGGACCATTCGAGGGACAAACACCCTAATTGCGGGACAGTTAACAGGGGTACCACCAAAAACTTCATAGAGGGACAGATTTTTTAGACAAAGTGCCCTAAATTTGCGGGATTTCGCGGGACATCCACCTAAATTTGCAGGATGTCTCGGGACATTCAAGGGATTTGCGTGATTGGGACTAATGTAAAAGCGTGTAAAAGTACTTAAATCAAACTTTCAGATACTGATTAATCAAATATAATGCACCGTTACATTGTAACTTAAATAAACGTCAACACAATTTCACAAAATACGCATAGGAATATTATTATAC